TAGGACTCTGCGGCATCACCTTCGGCTGTGGTTACAGGTGCAACAGAACATTTTAGAAAGTAGTTTTTATAACTAACCTCATTCTTCAGCTTGCTCCCGGAAAATCTGTCATTAAAGAGAAACAGATTTCATATTTTAAATCTGCAAATACTGAGACGGATAACAGATAAATATAACTGACCACAAAACCAACACCAACGATACCACATAATGATCAACAAACAAACGAATAAAGAGGTATCATTTAATATACAAGAATAAGTCATGTAAAATGTTATTTTACCTCGTCAAACCTTTTCCAGAATACACAGAGTGATAGTAAGCGCTGCTCTCTTTGATGCCGATGCCATAGTAATGATATCTGCGTGATGTAAAGGGATCAATATTCAATAAGTCCAACAATATTTTGGAGCATGAGCTTGCCTGACACCTTCTTTGCAAATAGTCAGAGAGAATGTTTTTTGCTTTTACTTGGAGTGTCCTCTGGTGCCCAGTCGTCTTGTTGTTAAAAGAGGAAACTTCTGTCGAATTGTCTGATGAGAAATGATTGTATGAAGCCCTGGTTAGATCGGTCATGCTTCATGTTATGCCAATTCGTCAAAATGGAAACTATTACATTTTATTACATATTATAACATTACATATTACAAGCTTTAAGCTTTGAACTTAAGATTTCAAGGAATAAACTAATATCCACGAAGGCACATGTAATTGAAAGCGTTGCACCTTTAACTACGAGAAAAAAAACGATAAGTAAATTAAATCTGCATATAGATATTTTTTGGGGGGGGTTTTAAAGAACACATTTTTGGTGTGCAAACACATACGCGCACTCACACACACAAACCTTTCCAAATGTAGCAGCGCAGGCCGGCTCCAGTTTCTCCTTCCTGCAGAAGTCCAGGTAGTGAGCGTAGAGGATACATCGAGGCAAACACACTCCTTCACACACAATATAATTCTCCTCCAGCCTGTTGACACACATCAGTGAGAAAGAGATTAGCAGTGAAAACCATTGCAGAGAGGAAATGCAAAAACCCACAACAAAGACAAAGCCGATGCACATATTTCATATATCTAACAGAAAATGCACATATAAAAGCAAAATAAAAACACAATAGCAAAATTAAAGTTTGCAAATACACAGATTGGAACAACAACACCCATACAACCTAATTAATTAGAAACAATTAAAATCAGAAAAGGTAGAGCAATAACAGTGTTAATTTTACTGAGATTTAAAATAGGTCACTGAGTCAAACATGTACTGAAGAACAGAACCACAGCTTTGGGAAGTTTTCTAAAGTAAATGTCCATTTGCCAAAAAGAGGAGGACGTATTCACCTCTGGTTGGCATTTTTTCTTCATTTAGAATCAGGAGGCGGAAAAGCCGGTTCAAAATATCTTTTAGGTTGCAAACCACAGAATAATACATTTTTTTGTAGTCTGAAACATATATTAGTAAAATATGAGTATTGACAAACGATCTGTACATTTTGTCCAAAATGTTGACTTGTAAGTTTTTATGTCATTGTGTATCCAACATTCAATTCATACAGAGCACTTTCTATTCCGCTTGGTTTTCTTACACCACCCTCAAGCTTCTTGTGGGTTGGAGGGAGGAGGATATCTGCGATGCAGAATGATGTTGTGGAGACATTAGATGTGTGCCCCCACCCCTCACATACACACCTATTAATGTGGATTTTACTGTCACTCGTGCGGAGGATAGTACATCTTACCACTGCAGGGTGAGTTGGGTCTGCTTCTTCTTGTCCTTGATGATCTGACTGATGGTCTTCCTGGAGGACGCGATGCTCTGTTCCATGGTCAGATCCGAGTTTATGTCCATCAGGTCCTGGTCTTCCTCAGAGGATGGTGTGTCATTACTGTCCTCTGCTTCTGAGAATACACAGAGATAAATATGGTTAATAGCTCCAAAAATGTCTATTTTCAACATAACTCTTGCATTGACTCTTGCATAATTTTCAGCTAATACCTTCTTCCTCTTGGATTGGTTCTGCCCTGCACTGATCTTCCCTTACCGTTCCAAATGGAATATTTTGGATGTAATCTTACAGTTATTTCTGCTTCCGTGGCTCAAACAACCTGTACGGGAGTGAAGCTCCGCCTCGTGAGATCTGCAGCTTTCACTTACAATCCAAACATTTGTTTTGAGGGGAAATTAGTTTGCGGTTTTGTTTTCTCTGCTTGATGAACCTCATGTGTTTGTATGAAACTTAATAAGGTGATTTGAGCTTTCGTTTGTCATTTAGACTGCCCTCACAGTTAGAAATGGACAGGATATAATATATTATACTCTTTATGTATTCATATATTGCGCATTTGAAATGCTCTTGTTTTCAAAGGGAATGCTTAACTGCAAACTAAATCAAATGACTCTTTACCGCGAGAATAGATTCCAACCTGAACACTATTAATGTCGTGTCATAATGATAATATCTAACAAAAATATTACTGCAATTATAAATTCCAACACGGCAATGATGAACTATAAAATTGCAAACTACCAATTTAATTAGAATAAATGTGCTCATTTCAAAATAGCACATAAATATATTTATAAAATTACATTATATATATGGTAACCTGTTGTGTTGTGTGAACATGTACACAATATCTATCCACTGTAATATTATAAAATAATATATTGCCTGAGCTATAATATATAGCCAAAGAAAAAATATACGATTATACGAAAGATACGAAATTGTCTGTGACGGCTCAACAAGATTTTTGCATATGTTTCCAAACTTTGTGAAACAATATTCAAACGTATCAGGTGAACTGAACTGAAATAAAGGAAACAATTGTGGAAGATGAAAACTGTACAACTTAATAAAACGATTACAATTTCGATTGTGACCTCATGTGACTTCAATCCTGAAAGAGCTCTCAAGCAAAATAGGAGCTTTCAAAGCGAAGTAGGTTCTGATGATCTGATTCATTGTTATGAAAAACGTTTAGGGATTTCGAGTTGAAATATTTTTGCTGTAATATTCCCTAATATTGCTATTAGGAAAAAATCCCTTTGTGATAATCCTGAATCTAGTCTAGATATTTACCAGCTCTAATAAAAACAATATTGTGAATTCAGGCCTTTCTTTTTATTCATGGTAAAACGTGTCGTTGAAAACAGTGAAAACCTGTTTCAATTTAGCTAAATAATTGTACTAAAAATGGTGCAGAACTTTTGACATTAGGATTCATTCTAAACTACATAATATATATAGTTATGCTGTAGATGTGAAGCTGTATTTTGAGTTCCACCACAGTTCCGTCTGACTTTGTTGTATTTATTAACTCATCTTCTTCACTGATTCCTCTCACTTTAGTCATGTACAAATCACAGCCCCCCCCCCCCCCGTTTGTGTGTCTTCACTATCACTCTTATTCTCATGTTTGAGGGCCAAGAAGTTATTGAAAAAAGTGCATGGGATCTTTTCGTTGTAGCGCCACCATGTGGTCCGTTTGTGTCACTTATCGCTTTTACCTGCGCATGTTTGAAATGTTAGCACAGAAAACGTTCCCATTCAATGACTGTGAGTGAAGATTAACTCGAGAAAATCGAAGAAAAGGATGAAGACGAAGACGAAGATGCAGATACAGTATTAATATAAAAACAGTGACTCTTCACTTTTAATGATCTGAACTACCAGCAGCAATTTGTTTGATTACCTGATTTGATCCCGGAATCTTCCTCCTGATGAAAATGTGTCCGTCCCATAAAGTCTGTGCGTGTTTCCTCTGGTGAGCTGCACAAAGTCCTGGTCAGAGAGTGTATAAGAAACACTCCATCTCTGGCTGAACTCTCACTGCTGCGTTTCATTGGCATGGTCAAATGGAATAAATGTTCAAAAACAAATCAACCAAAGACAGTTAAAAAAAAAAAAACTGAAGTGAGCCTGCTGGGAAAACAACACTCCACTGCAACTCATTTGTCCTTAAGAATGAATCTCCAAGCACCGTTTGGCATTCCCAAATTCACTCAGATCCAAGAGACGGTCAAAAATGATCACAGAATAAAAAGCAGCTCCAGCAATTATTTTGTCCAACCGACAATTCTGAAGCTAAAGAAAAGAAACGAGTGCACTCTGGTTTGTCCTGACAGAGCAACTTCAGACTAATAAAGCTGAGCTGTGGAAAGGCAGAGCTAATGAACCTGTGGCTGCATTCATCATATTTACAGAGGACTGGGGCTAATCCAGGTCACTAATGATTAACAGAAAAACCCCTCATCCATCTGTCCATCCATCCATCCTCCCTCACACACTCAGCTGGTCCTTTAGGTAAAGACATACATGGATAAAAGCAATTGTCTTTTCTTATTTTTCCTTCAGATAGCTTGGTCATAGTTCCAAGTACGTGCAGGGTATAACTCTAATGTACTTTTACCTACTTAAATTACGGCGGCAGCATCCCCACAACTGCAACTAATAATTGTTTTCGTGATCAAGTAACCCTTTGATTTATTTTTATTCATCCTGCAGAATGTCTTCACTGCTACTGTGACCTTTAACGTTTAAACTGGTAAATCCGAAGCCAATTTGTAAACTACTATACATGGGTAACTTTTCCACACAGATCAATAACATTTCTTATCTTGACCCGTAATAATACGTAATCATCATGCACGTCCGTATTATATTTGTTGTTATTAATCCGAATCTGAAAAAAATGACTTGTGAAAAGTGGGTTAAAGACTAATCTGTAGGATTGTGGCAGAAGTATAAACTATAGCAGAAACATGGAATTTTTATATGGAGACAAATATTCAAGCATAGGCCTGCCTCAAAATATGTAATGTGCTTCAGTCACTTCCCCCCGTTCTGGAGTGTGAATATGGTTTTAATTACGTTTTTATTTAAAACAGAAATACAAATTAAAAGCCCGTTTATCACATTAAAATACATTTAACGTGACCCGCAGTGTCTCTCCGTGTCCCATTTGCATTTCAGATCAATATTCATGTTGAAAACATTAAACAAAGGAGCTCGAGGGGAACCTTTAATACGGAGGAGAAACCGGAAGTGAGGTCACACTGTGATTCTCAACGAGGGTCGATGACGTGACGTGAGGCTGCGCGACAGGTGAGAACCACCTAAGAATGTGCCTCTGATCTGAAAGATTTTACTATTTGCAAATATTGACGGTAATCTTACATAAAAAAGAACATGACGTAAGCTAACCTTTGAGGTGAACCGTGACGTAAGCTTCAGCCTCGTGTAGCGTTAGCATAGCGGACGTTGTTCTCGGCTAGTTTTTGCCGCTAACTCGTGCTGAATGTCATCGGAAATCGCCATGAAAAACTCTTTTGGTTTCTACATTTAGAATTTGGTCAGTAGCATTTGTGAATAATAACGTTATAAGCTAGCCAATGTAACAATGACAGCTAATATTATCACCAAACGAACAGAAAGAAAACCGCACATGCGTTTTTAGTCCTTTACATCTGCTATTTAGATCGAGCCCGCCTGCCAAGGTGAGCACCTGCTAACGTTAGTTTAAAACAAATATAAATATAAGTGACTAACTTAAGTTATTTTTCGATCATGTGTTAATGAAACGTTTGATAGTCTTTGCAGTAAAGCTCAGAACTCTTTGCTAAATAAATTCTGACAACTTCTGATACCTGACATAGTGGGAGTTTCCCTTTTTATGAGATAAAAAAATATGAGAACAACACAAAAAAAACAAGCAGAAATAAAATCTTTCACCGGATATTTCTAAATCAGGCCACAATTGACTTTACATAATTGGAAGTTTAAAAAAGCCAACACCATAATTAGAATTATTATAATGATCTTTTTGGCTTTGTTTCTGTTTGCGTCTGAAGATATAAAATACTCTTTGAGCTCTGTTTCTCCTCCAAAACTCATTTTGGTTCATGTTGATGTGCCCTTGGGCAACACACTTTGTGTGGGTATGAATGATTTGTTAGTCCTGATGGTTTTTGACTTCAGCATACCAGATATTTGAATGCACCCAAGAAACATTGCGACGCGGCTCTAGATTGATTTTTATTGTCCCGAAGGGAATTTGTCTTAAGAGCATACACACAGGCAGATGGTTTGAATAATTAACCATTGTATGAAATAATTCCTAAATAAATAATGTTAAAGCAGAGATGTTCAGGAGCTAACATTCTAGTGTAGAAAACATTTAACACTCAAATACTGTAATAATATTTTCCCTAGAATTATGCAGGAACATATTCAATAGAGTGGAAGAGAAGTAATGTTGATTTACATTCGTGATCATCAATGTCCTTTCGACATTAAATAGTGATAAAACACTGTGTGGTGCAGAAAATAATTCTATTTCTTCAAAAAACTTGGAACAGCCACAGGTTTTCTTTGGGTTTACTTAGAGAAATGGGGACGGTCGCCCCAATTAAAGCTTGTCCAGCGTCCAAGTCTCGACAAAGCTCTGGAAGGAGTCTTCATGGCAACTAATAATTAATAACTAGCTCGGTGGGTTTCTGTCATTTATGATTGCGCCAAAGTGGCGTCACTCTGTCTTTATCGCAGGCCGAGAAAGGAGCTTCGGAAACTTCTAAAGAGGAATTTAAGAGCCATCATTTTTTGGCTGCGCTTCAGTAAATCAGGAGCCAGCAGCATAAACCACAAATGTAGTTGATCAACTGTTTACAGTGTGCTTGAACAACATTTTGTACCGTGGCTACAATGCCAGCGAGCATCTGTTTACACTGATGAAATATAAGGAAATAAAGCCCTTTATCTATTTCTATAGCCAGACATCTGTAGAACCCAATGTTGCTTACTTTACAATTCACCAGAGATGAGCACTGACACAAACAGGCCCACTGATAAGAGTAAAGAATTTTAATTAGTAATTAAAATAATGCAAATAAATTACATTAAAAATGGTCTGTGTGTTATAAAAGTGTGAGTATTTTCAAATGCTTCAAAAACAATTGGGGATGCACCTTTTTATTATTTATATTTTTCCAGTAGAATAAAATAGATGCAAGATTTTTAGTACATCAGCATTTGTGGTCATACCCTCAGTCTTGAACATACATTAACCATATGTTGCTAAATGTATCGTCAAGGACAGTTCTGTACCGCCATATGTGCACATGATCAGGATGGTACTCCGACATTCAATATTTTGTCACTAGGTAAAGTCATCTCAGTTTAATTTATCCGCAAAGGGTTTACATTTTCTATACCTTCCATCTGGGAAGGAAAAACATTGCAAAGAAACCATGTTTTCAAATGGAAAAATGCATCTTTTAAAGTTGAGCCTTGTTTTGAGGTGATAAAGCTGTAGTGTCTAAAGGTGTCGTTTCTGTTCTTGTATGTTTATATTTGATTAATGATCGCCAACATTTATCTCTCAGGTTTATGATGGGACCGTTACTGATTCTGTAGCCATGCAGTCGGTGCTGGGCTCCGAACATCAGAAGTAAGTCAATTAATTTGGTAAAAATGAATTGGTGTTTGCATGTTGTTCTTTTATAGTACAAGATAAAAAGAAATTACAGAAGATTTTTGCGGTTATTCACTGTGTCAGTAATTTTCAGTTACTGGCATAAATATCAGTAGAGCAGCACATCTGGATATTCAACACTTATTTGGCCTCCTATTTAAATGGAAAAGTATTAAGGATGTCAACAGATTAAAAGAAAAAAACTAATTAATCCCCCATTCTAATTCCATCATTTGGCGTTTTCCAAACCACTGTCTTTTAGGGCAACAGTGGTAGTCCTCTGCAGACTGTGGTCCTCTGCAGAGTAGATGTTGAGATGGAAGTAGCCTAGCAGCCAGCAACATGTTGCAGGCACCATCAGTGCCTGAAGTGGTCCGTTTGCCACTCATCCCCCTTCTGTTTGACACGTGGAGGAATTCCTCTGTACAGTTCTCCTCAGTATGTTGCACCTCAGTTTGTCTTACTTCCACAATGTCATTGAGTAACACGTTAACTTTGACAGCTCTAGAAAGTATACTTTTTTTTTTCTTTACAAAAGAAACTAGCAGCTTTTTTTAATATACTACGACGACAGAAAAAATATAATTTATGTATAAATGTTAATGAAAATATCCATTTTATCTAAAATGACCCTACATAAGAAAAAGCAATGGAGCTCATACTGGGTTGGGGAACACTATGCTATATTTCCTGTCTCCATTTTAATTAAGTGTCCAAAATATGTGTCCCTGGCATGAATTCCCACAAAGCATTGTGCTGCATTGTGTTCATCTGAAATCACTGATGTTATTCCACTGTAGGGATGCACCAATCTGACTTTTCAGACCCGAAAGCTGCCGATGTCTAGGACAGATCCAATACCCGTGTTAAATGAACAATCCTTATGCCTCTCCATGCGGAAAAGACTGGGATCATTTGTTAATGTATTTGGCAAAACTTTATCATATCTTCCCATTGATACCAATACAACATCCATCTATTTGAGTCTGTATCTGTCCCAACATCATGTGCACATGTGCATTGCACACCTGTGATGATACATGACTCATGTGTCAAATGTTGGCTAAAACACAGTGAATGTATGGAATAAAAAACTCACCAACTTATTAACACATTTTAAGTTTCTAATACAAATCACTTTTTTTTGCAGATTCGTTACTTCTGCTTCATGTGCCGTTTGGCCAGTGGAACTCAAGTTAACTCACTTAGACTGGAACTCGGACGCAACCTTAATACACTTCCAGGGACATTACCTTACCATATCTGACCATGACTATAACATCTTGCAAGGAGAAATACAGAACGTACCAAAGACTAGCGCTGAAGTGGATATTGGAGAGTTTTGTATTGTGGAAGATTTGTGTTCAGGCCGCTGGTACAGAGGAAGGGTTCAGAACCGCAAAAAGGACTTGTTTGAGGTTTTCCTCATCGACCACGGGAACGTTTTGAGTGTCAACATCGCTCACATATCTCCCTGTTCAAATGACCTGTTCATCCTGCCTCCCAAGATAATTTGTGGCTTTCTTGCAAATGTGCTGCTGCTTGATGGCGGTTCTCATTCTGTGTTAGAGAAGTACTTCTCAAGCCTGATGGGAAGAAATGTCACAGGGTACATCCAAGCCCTCTTGCCCCACAAAGTGGTCTTGTTGGAAGCCCCTGACATTAACAATGACCTTGTTAGACATGGCTTTGGGAGGCATATGGACACAGATACTTTCCTGTTCTTGGTTGGGATGCTCACAGAGGTGCCGCTCAAACGAAACATGAAGCCAATTCCTGACTTACTCCTTGAAAAGCCATGTGAGCAAGAACTTAGCTTCAACCCGTCTGGTTTGCAGGGATACAAAGACGTTCTGTCTCTCTGTGGGCCTAGATTGGGTTGTGGGACACGTGCTAAAGTGCGTGTAACTGCTGCCATTAACCCTCAGCTGTTTTATTGTCGGAAGACTAGTATGGAAACAGATCTTTGCGAAATGTCAACAAAACTGGCTGCAGTTAATGAGCGACAATCCCAAAAACACGACCAGAAGACTTCAGAAAACCTGGGTTTGCTCTGCTCAGTCAAAGGCAAAGATGGAAAGTGGCACAGAGGCTATGTGCAGTTTCTCCCAGTCAACTCTCAACTTCGAGTTTTGTTCATTGACTATGGAGTCTTTGAATCCGTTGATGTTGAGAATGTGCACAGGTTGCCAACTGACTTGTTTTCAACACCTGTCATGGCATTCCCATGCTCGCTCTCCTCGCTGAATGATCAGGATGAGGCTGTTAAAACTCAGCAGTTGAATTTTCTCAAGGCAGGCTTGCTTGGAAAAGTGTTGGATGTGGAAATCCAAGGTTTTGACGAAAGGCAACACCTGTACTCTGTCAAATTGATTGGTGCTGAAGATAATGATATGAAGGAACCAACACTTATTCAAGAGCTTCCTAGCAAGACAGTTGAGTCAGTTCTTGAGGAAAATCCGTCACCTCGCTGTGGCCATTTTTACTATGAGACAGTCATGGCAAAAGCAGTGTGTAAAACACTTGAAGCAGAAGGGCTCCAAGTAGACTCTGACTTTGTGGGGTATGTCGAGTATGCACAGAATCCAAGCCACTTTTGGATCAGAACACAAAAGCGTAATGATGAGTTTCAAGAAATGATGAAAAAAATGGCAGATTCCTTCAAACAAGTGAAACTGGATGAAGACGTGCTGTTGAATCCTGACATTGGGACACTGTGTTGTGCAGTGTATGAGGAAGACATGCATTTCTACAGGGGTGTAGTGACAGACACTCTTGAGCATGGATCTGAAGTTCTTTTTATTGATTTTGGGAACATTCAGAAAGTGCCACATATGTTGATCAAGAAGATACCTGAGACATTTGCAAACATACCAGCATTTGCCTTCTGTTGCAGTCTTGTTAATGTTTCTCCGTTCGATGAAATGTGGACCAGCACCACCTCAGACATTTTCAGACAAGCCGTGTCAAACAAAGCCCTGCTTGTCCATGTGGTGGAAATAAAAAACAAACAATTGGTTGTTGATCTCCATGACATGGAAAGTAAAAACCACCAAAGTATCATGGAGTCCCTGATCTCTTCAAAAAAAGCTGAATATTGGAACAACATTGCCATAACACCTGTGGTGCGAAACAGCATACATTTGACAGAAGAAAAGGAGCCCCCAAAATTAGGTGTGACATCAAACACCTGTGAGAATACAGATTGTGAGAAGGAAGAGAAAACGTGCAACATTCAAACTGAGAACGGCCAAGCACCTGCTCGCTTCAAAGCCTTGAGCATCACGCCAGGGTGTAATATTGCTGTGACCTGCTCTTGCGTTAAGTCTCCATCAGAGATCTGGTGCCAGCCTCAAGATAATCTTCCAGGTTTGGAGGAACTGATGAATAAAGTCAATCAATATTACTCAACTCGGATGGTTCCCGTCCGATCAGGGGATTTGTGTTGTGTCGCCAAGTCACCTCTAGATGGAAGATGGTACAGGGCCTTCATCACAGATAAATACAACGGTTATGCCACGGTGATGTTTGTTGACTATGGTTTTACCATCCAAATCAAGGAGCAACATCTTCAGGCAATAATACCTGAACATTTCTATTTGGAAAAACAAGCTTTCAGGTGCTGCCTTAACGACCTGATTGAACCTGCTGACCCAGAGAACAATGGGGATTGGGGTCCGGATGTGTGTAAAACACTGAAAGAGTTAGTCCTCAACTGCGCCAGTGGTTTAAGTTGTAAAGTTGTCTCACAGTTGAATGTGAGGAACAAAGGGCTCTGCAATGTCGTGGAACTCTACAACACCCGAACCCGTCAGAGGCTAACCAATTTGCTCCTGGACTGGTGTGAGCCAAGGGAAGGGCCAAACTCGGGAAAGCTGTCAACTGTGATTCCGGAGTGCTTTGTCTGCTCTTCACATGGTCTAAGTCCTGGAGATGAGGAGCAAGTCTTCATCACTCATGTTGGCATTCAGTGGGAAGTCTACTGCCACCTTCAGAGAAACGCTGAAATCATTGACGAGCTCGAACAGAAAATCGCAGAGGAGAGTGAGAAATGTATACAAGCCAGTACGAGAGTTGTTGGGAGTAGGCTAGCCCTGGCAAAATACTTCGATGGCAAATGGTACAGGGGCTTGGCACATCCTGTTCAGTCCCCTCGCCATCTCGGTGTGTTTTTTGTGGATTATGGTAACACAAATGTATCTGAGAAGACCAATGTGATATCCATCCCCAGAGATTCTGTTGATTTGTTGGACACACCCATGCAGGCTGTGAAATTCCACCTTGCTTCAGTGTCCACGAAAGAGTTCTATGCAGATGTGAAAGAATGGCTTGATGCTGCAATCCTCAACAAGGAAGTCAGAGCTGTCATAGTTGGAAAGGGCAAAGATGGTTCATTTGATGTTGAACTGTTTGATGGGGATGTTAACATCAATGAGAAGGTAAAGGACCTCGTTCTCAGTCTTTCGCCAAAACCAACGACAGTTGTGAGTTCTGACCTGAGCCGCACAAAGAAAGAACCTCAAACTCTCCAAACGAGATGCACAAAGCCTTCAGTTAAGTGCAGGGAAGTCAGCCAAATCCCTAGCAAACAGAGGGTTTCAAAGCGCCCCGAATTGAAAGCATTGGGATGTGCTGAAGTTAAGAAAAAAAACACAAAACATCATGTTCGTAGTAAACAGCACAAACATGCAGAGGAAACTGAGATCCCTCAGCTCTGTTTGCCAGACATGACGATTAGCGCAGGTTTCAGGGCGATGTGTTTCGTCTCCCACATTAACTCTGTCAACAACTTTTTTCTTCAACTGTCTGAGGATGAACCTGCCATTTTGAAAATGGGCGAAAAGCTAAACTTGAAAAACTTCAGAGATTCCTTAAACCCTGCTCCATCTTTGAGACTAAATGACTTGGTTCTGGCTGAGTATGAGGAAGACGGAGCTCTGTATCGTTCCGCTGTGAAGAACTGTGGGACCCGCTTTGAAGTTGAGTTTGTGGACTATGGAAACAACGCAGTCATGGGCAAGGACAAGATCTACTCCATACCAAAGGAGTATCTCTCTCATCCACGGTTCAGCATATCGTGCTCCTTGTTGGACACAAGTATGTACACAAGTGATGTTTCTTTCACTGATACTGTAATGACGAAGCCTCTCATGGTTGATTTTGTCCGTCATGAAGTCCATTGGAAAGTGAAGCTTGAGATTCTTGATGAAGCGGTCTGTGTTCCAGCAGCACTGGAAGCAGCTTTGGAAAGTGGCCCCGAAAATGAAAGGGGAGAGGAGTCTCCTGCAGATTCATTTGGAATGGAAGAGGAATCAAGATCCTGTGAGCAGAATCTCCTCACAAAAAAAGTGAGTGAGAAAAAAACACGCCAATCCGAAGGAACCACTACTGATGAAGAAAACCTTGTGCCAAAACCAACCCACGCCCCACTATCCACTACAGTAGGAGAACCAAGAGAAGCCACCTTAAACAAAGGAGATTCATTGGAGAATCCAAGTACATTCACAAAAGGCCTAGTGAATACGAAAAGTGATTGGGCCGATGCCATAATACCTCCGTCTATTCAGGCCAACGACACAGAGATTAGTACAGTTTTGTCTGTAATGAGTAACAGCAACTTTTACGCCAGACTAAATAAGACCAGTCTACTGCTAATCGCATTGGAAAACTGTATCGCTGACAACCTACACAAGTGCAAGATGGTAGCATACGAGGATGTCAAACAAGGCCTCAAGTGCTTAGTTGAGGTGGACCAGCGGTGGCACAGGGCTGTTGTTCAAGGTGTAGGCTTGGAAACATGCCAGCTCCTCCTTGTCGATCGTGGAATGACTGAGCGAATTCCAAGAGGGTCGATCCGGCGCCAGTGTAGAGCGCTGACAAAAATCCCCCACCTTGCAGTTTTGTGCAAGGTGAACTGCATTGGGTTCAGTGAGGGAGAGGCTTCTCCTGGGCTGTGGTGTGAAATACTCAAACCAATGATTGGCAGAGAAGTCCAACTGGTGTTTGTGTGCTTTTCAGAAGCTGACAAACTATGGACGGTTGAAATAATTATGAATGGACTGTTTGTTCTTCATCAAATCCCAACCTCACTGCGGCAGAATGAAGAGCTGGTGCCGTCAACTGCTGAGACCTTAAGAAGTGAAAAAGCAGAAGCCGAATTAAACGCAGACACGAGGCCCCCTCAGCGTCTTACCTTTGCTCCTGTAGATTTAGACACTCCCTATTCTGGGTTCGCTGCTGCAGTGACGACGCCCTTCAAGTTCTGCATCATTCTGGAGGACTTTCTTCTCGTCATGAACAAAGTATCCTTATTATTGGACAACCTCCCTGAGGAAATGTCTCCCCTTCCCGAAGCCCACCTCGTCCCGGGCACCTGCTGCCTGTTTAAATCCAACACGAAGAGTAAGTGTTGCCGGGCCGAAATCACAGAAGTTAACACCACAGCAGTCTTAAACCTGGTGGATTACGGCCACTACGAGTGCATCCCGTACCACGACTGCTCCAAGCTGAAAAGGGCTCCTGAGGAGATAACAAACCTCCCAAAGGTGGAGTACCCTTGCGTTCTGCGAGGGGTGAAGCCAGTTGGAGTAGATGGACAGTGGACCAATGAAGCAGCAGTCTTCTTCCAGCAGTGTTTGTTCCAGAAAAACCTTCAGATCATCTTCAGGGAGTTTGTATTAAACACACACTGGAAAGTGGACATCCTGGCAGATGGTACCCATGTTGCCAAGGAGCTGGTGGATGCGGGACACGCCAATTACATGGACATCACGCTAGGACTGAGGTAGGCTGCCACTCGGTAATTATATCTTTATCAGGGCTATTTTTTTTATTTCACATTTTCACAATAAGACTTAAATACAACATACTATTTTGAGATGCAGTGAAGCAGTATAAAGTTAAGACAAATTGTATTTATTAACACTGCTTACGCTCAGTGTTTATTCTTTTTTTTTTATCAATTGATAATAAAAAAGAATAATTGGTTCTTATGAATATATAATTAATTTACTATAGTCCTTCAGCATGCTACCATCATTTTTTCAAAGATATGTTTACATTAAAACACTTAACACTTAAAAATAATGAAGGCACTTGACAAATGTTACAGTAGTACAAATTATAAGCCATACTTTTTTTTTTTTTTACATCTTTACTGAAGATTATTCATTCAACTTATTTTCTTCTTTTCACAAAATGTAGCAGCATTTCTTGATCGTCAGAACACACCGTATCAACCGTAAACTTAAAAAATTTCAGAAGAGATTTCTCTGGAAATCAGTTCAATCCGGACATTTTCAGCCGTAACATCTGAAATAAAAAGCAATAACTAAGCCAAAGAAATAGGAACAATAGAAACTTGAGCGGTTTCAAGCTTAATGCATAAAACTTTCTTGTTGTTTATTTGTGATGCATTCAGGTTCCAGGAGCAGGGCCCCCGTAGAGCAGCTCCTGGTAGCCCTGACAGTGAGGAAGAGTGTGGCCAGGAACATGATGGCTTCAACGGGAATCGTGTAAGCACCCCACCCTTAACCTCTACTAACATTACTTTTTACATTACTTGTCATTTAGCTGACGCTTTTATCCAAAGCGACTTACAATAAGTGCATTCAGCCGTAGAGATACAAACTCAGAAGAACAAGAAAGTGCAATTTCCTCAAATAAGCAAATTTACAATTTGCTATAGATGAGTGCCGTTACAATTTAAGTGCTACAATCCGCTCTGACCCCCTCCCTGTGTGAATCAAACAGCCATCTGCTAGCATCGACTCCTGGTGGGCGGAGAGGACGGGGGCTGCTTTCAGCAGGCTGAAAGGCGCTAGCATTTGTTTGTCTGAAAGCAGCTTGGCTGCGCCGCCAATCACTGGTGTGCAGATTGAAATCAGCAGGGCGGCTAGTTAGCTGCAGGAAGCTAACGGCTACTTTAAACTATGTGTTATGGCTCTGTACCAATGGCTATTGAGCAAAAGTTAAACATTGTCATGTATTAAGATGTTATTTTGTAAAATTGTTAAGAAGTATAAAGATTTATTTATTTTAAGGACGTAATTATGACCTGTTTTACTTGGTAAAACTGCATTTAAGCAGCTTGTCATACAGTAAAGATGCAATGGTACGATTTGTCAATTAAATGAACAGATCTGTAAAACTGACTTTTACACATTGAACTAAACCATCATACCTACAGTATTTCAAGGATGTCTTGGAAAATTCTTGGTTTTGTAAATAATTATTTTTTTCTTCTGTTACAGGTTGAGCACCGACATCACATCGATTCCATTCGTTCTAATTAATATTAATCCATGTGGGACAATTGTCGTTTCTCGCACTTTAAGACAAGTGGCCGTGTAATGTTGCTCTATTTATTTTGTTGTGTTGACCTAATTTGAGTTCCTTCCAATAATGTTGCTTGAAAGAAAAGTATAATTGAAAGGTTTGTAAAGACTTCTATTTGGTGTTCTCCTCATGCAGGTTCTTCACAAAAATAATGCTTTACTACATTTTTTGTAACTACTGTTCATAGTGTTTGTTTAAAAATATATATGAAGTTGCTCATTAAGAACTACAGTGTTGGTTTTGGCAAGGTGAAAAAATCTACAATTATTTTCTTATTTCTAAATTACACCTTTTTATAGGAAGTTCCTATATTGATCTTTGTTCTATTTTAGTTTTTAAGTATTCTTTTCAGAATAAAAAAAAAGGTTTGGCTCAATCTTGGAAAAATTAATGGAAAAATGCTTTTCAGTTGCAACCTAAATGTTAGTTTATACTTTTGCTTTCATACGCTTTGTTCTCCTAACAGGTGGAACGGTTAATTTAGCAGTGTGGGATAACGGAAATGTACCGACATTACCCGTAAAGAAATGTCCTGTTTGCTTCACCTCCAGAGAGCAGTGTTGAGCCGTGGCTGGTTCATTGTAAGATGCATTCAACCAGTGTTAACTAATGTCTATTTAGATCAGTTTTAGTGAATGTACAACTAACATTATAATATAATATGCAATGATTAACCCCAAATAAACAAAGAAAAAGGATGAATAACGTCACTTCTTTAGTTCCACTAGTTGTTTGATTTATAAGAAAAATATTACCAGGAGAGATGGTTTGGATGAAAGGCATACGTTGCTGCCCCCTGCTGTGCATTCTGGGAAAGCTGAACGGACTAAATCATTTAAAATGAGAGTTTTAATACTTCCTGTGGCTGCTCAGTATTTCCCTTTTGTTACATAAATACTGTTATCCCAGAAAACACTGACAACTTCAACAAGGTGAACCGTCAGACCGGCAGGACCAAAATCAAACAACAACAAAAAAACTCAAATCGTATTTAGGACGGAAATGCACAGGAAGAAGTTAAAGGTGAAGCTGTCTGATGAATCTAGAGTGTAAAACTAAATGAACTGTGTGTGTATATATATATATATATATATATATATATATATATACACAAATACACACAGTTCATGTGTTCAATCTATTTCTAAGTAACTTCATTTTGTAGAGAAGAGAAAAACAGTTTACAATAACAGAATTCATTGAATTATTCCATCCATTGTCAAACCGCTTATCCTGCACGCAGGGTCGCGGGGGGGCTGAAGTCCGTCCCAGCCAACTTCGGGCGATAGACAGGGTCATTGAATTATTATTAAATGAAAAACTTTAAACCTATTTAGAATTATTCCTCCTCCTTCTTCAGCCTGTACGGTCCATCTCCTCCTCCCTGAGAAGATGCAAAGAGCTTCCTGTGTGTATGAGGAGCTTCCCAAACCCACCAGCACAGAAGATGCTGATGAAGACAAACAACGCCTTCTGGGCCTCACTGGGGTGCTGAGAGGGATTCAGGGGTCTGTGGTGGGTCCTCCTGGGATGACGGGTTGGTTGACTTCCTCTCTCAGCTGTCCCAGGAGTGAGACCAAAGCCCGGAGGAGTCTCGCCCTGTGAAACAAAAACACAAGTGATGAGAACTTTTGAGCTCAACTATACAACCTTTTCATTGTTGTGTTAAATCTTTATTGCTGATACTGAAGCAGTTTTAGTGAGGGATCACTTGGCCCAATGAAAGAAAGGCGCCTGCCGCTCTTTAGTCGTCCATCCTTCTCATCTGGACTTGTGTTAATGTTCTAAGTATTGACTTACCCTTGTCTGGTAAAGAAATCAACATTATGAATGAAACAGAATAACAACCATATACTGTAAACTTACAGTGGGGCAAAAAAAGTATTGTGCTCGTTCTTCCACTTGAAAAGATGAGAGAGGCCTGTAATTTTCATCATAGCTACTCTTCAACTATGAGAGACAAAATGAGAAAAAAATCACATTGTAGGATTTTTCAACTGTGAATCAAATCAACCGTTGGAGCAATTATAAGAAAATGGAAGACATACAAGACCACTGATAATCTCCCTCGAGCCGGGGCTCCACGCCAGATCTCACCCCGTGAGGTCAAAATGATCACAAGAACGCTGAGCAAAAATCCCAGAACCACACGGAGGGACCTAGTGAATGACCTGCAGAGAACTGGGACCAAAGTAACAAAGGCTACCGTCAGTAACGCAACGCGAAACGTGGCTGGGTCTTTCAGCATGACAATGATTTTTGACATGTTGTCCTTATTGTTTTATATTTATGCTGAAATATTTTTTCCCCACAGTTTGTTTTTTTTGCATTACTGGGTAATCAATTAATGCAAAAATGTATTCAACCATATTCCAGGGGTTAATCAAAAAGCAGGACACTGACAAAAAGACAAAGGTCATAAATGATATAACATAAATTTGCAAAACGTAAGTAATATATATACTGTGTCAAATAGTTGTCATATCATGTCGTGTTGTATTCTCTGACGTATGACAGCGTAAAAGATGAAAACTGGCTTCACATGAACTGTGGGGATCGTCATTCTTTGGATTGAACAGCTGATCGTTTGGACGTTGCCGGAACATCGTGTTTGCTTCGAAATGTAATTGGATAACAGAATCACCACCACGTGGCCATTTTAAAGTTATGCATACACTTTTATTTAGGCTGCAAATCCTACTGGTTCAAATTTATAGGCCTAATACCAAAACATTTGTATCTTTATTTTCAACTTTTTGTCCGACAGTTTTTTTGGGTTTTGTGCATATATATATTACTAATCTTTAAATCACTCTGTCCGCCCTACTGTATTTAATAATGTATTCTATTTTTATGACATACGTATTATATACAACATATTTTCACAATTACCGTATAGTGAGATTGTGGAATACTTTATATTTCTCAGCACAACCAGATGACACCAAGTCAGGATGGCCGAGCGGTCTAAGGCGCTGCGTTCAGGTCGCAGTCTCCCCTGGAGGCGTGGGTTCGAATCCCACTTCTGACATGTGTTTTGCGAACATGCTGCCGGGTTACGAAGATGTTATAGTGTAGAGTGCACCAAAGATTTAACTTTTGTCAGGTTTCTTTGGACCTTTAAGACGGATCATATGTACACTGATCACAATGTAAAAGCATCCACTTTGTACAGGGCTGAACTGCTCCAACTAGTCAACAAAATTAAATGAATACCAAATGCATTTTTTTTAAGGGTTAATGTGAAGATAGCATTGACAACTTCGTCCCTACATGTATTTCCGTTTAGTAATACCATCACGAAACTGTGAAGTTTACATTCCTGAGGTAATAGTTTGATGCTAATAGTTTGAATGCACTTGTTCACAGCATACGCTGTGAACAAGTGCGTTCTCTCATTCTGCAAAAGCTTTAAAAGTGAGGGAAAGGTAAAACACTTTATTTGAACAAATCAGGTTGAAATACTATTCAGATACCATGAAATTGAATTCCTTTACATTGCTGAGGGAATAGATTGATGAAAACACTGTCAACCAGTGCATTCGTCCATGCTGTCTGTTTTAGGCCTTCTATCATTCTGCAAAAGCTTTAGAATTGATGAAAAGGTAAAAACCTAGATGGAAACATTTTCCTAAGGTTGATGAAAACACCGTCAACCAGTGCGTTCTTCCATGCTCTCCGTTTTAGAGCTTTTCTCAGTCTGCAAAAAGCTTTAGAGGTGACTAAAATGTAAAAACTTAATCTGAACAAATCAGGTGGTCAAGCTTTTCAGAAATCATATCATGAAACTAATGTAAGCAATGTGGGTGTATGCTCGTGAAATAATTCAGTCCAACACGTTCTGGGTTTTCCTCCAACTTTTATGTCACCTAACTCACAGTAACTCCAGAGTCTTGCCCAAATCCACACTTCTCCCCCAACTTGTCCTCTTTACTTTGAAGAAATCTCCAAATATGTACAGTAAAAATACTTTATTTACTTCAGCATGATGAAATACATTGTTTTCCAGAATCAATGTACAAAAATAGGTAATGTATGGAATTTGTAGGCCAAATCGTTTAAAATGATGATAATGCATTGATACATTTTGGCCCAAGTATACTGTAAGAAGATGCAGAAAGAAAACAATTCCACCTAATCAAATTTAGCAGGTTTATTTCTATAAGAGATAATCAAATCATATCAGAAAAAAGAATGTGCCACATAGCAAAACGTGACTGCATTGTTGTCCAAGAATACACATTTTGACAGTAGATTATGGTTTTAGATTTTGGCTTTCTTTGAAACCTCTTGATCCCAGTCAGTGCTGAAAATGTCATTACTTAACTCTGCAGAGTCAAACAGTGACAGCCCTGTGAATGGACCCCTGGCAGCACCGACACTGCTGGAAGGGCCCAGCCCAAAACACTTTCTCTTCTTCAGATTGCCATTACTGTGATGGGCAACCGGGCCCTCACTTGCCATGTCTACGCTCCTCCTGTGGATCAAAGCGCCAGAGGGCAGTGATTCTGTCCACCGGTCACGTCCCCGTCCGGGGGGCAGCTTTGTATCCTCGACTTTTCCCCTTAAAACGAGCTCTTGCAGGTATTTTGAATTAGCTCTTGAGTGTTCAGCACCATCAATCTGACCGGGCCTTTTTTCTACTTCAGGAGGACGATTTGTTTCCACTTTGGCTTCAGTCGGGCAAGTAAATGAGAATCTTGCGAGTTTGGACAGGGTAGAAGAGGCCACAGCGGACTTGGAAGACGCTGGATCATTAACCAACGCATTTGGTTTTACCAGAGTCCCATCGCTTGTGTTAACTCTGGGTCTTTGTTCTAGGCACAGAGATGTCGCATTAGACCTTCGCTCTCCCACATCAGTGATACAGCTCACTTGCTTACTACCGTTTCTGCCTTTTGACAGATTTAGGTACTGCGTTCTTTTCTTTCTCTCTTTGTCTGTAAGTGGATCGGCTGATTCTTGTCGACAAAGTGGCTTTTGAGGATTGCTACCCGAGTTACTCGCAGTTTGGATGTCTGCAGTAACCGCTGAGCCAGCGCTGAGGCTGTGGTTGATTGAAGGCCTCATCTTCCTTGATTTGAAAACAAATTTTGACAACTTAGCATGCAGCTCTTCACCAGTTTTAGTTTCAGCTGCCATCTTTTCTTTTAGTACAGTACGTGTGTTCTTATCTCCTGTCTGGTCCTTCTCGTCCTTCTTGTCCAATCTTCTGTCTTTGTCAGACGGTAGGTTACCCTGAACTACGATCCTCAAGGGGCTCTTAGCTGAAGAGCTGCTAGTGTGGGAATCTACAACCGCAATCACATCTTCACTTGAATCTCCAGTCACCACCTTCTCTCCAGGCCGATCATTCAGCTCGAGACCCTCAGACGCGTTCCTCTTCTTTTGGACTATAGAGCTTCGTTCTTTCATTTCTTGGGAAACGGCAGAGGTAATTGTTCCAAATGGGTGTGAAACCACATCGTGTTTCAATAATGGGCTAGTGTTACATAGCAACTCATTCTCAGTTGCAGCACTCGACCGTTTGGTTGCTGTTCTGTGGAGGTTTTCTGGAGCTGACGTGATAACGGACGAGGTCATGCCATCTGGCGACGAAGTGATGGAGTGGAACCAGTCTAAGCCACTGTCCGGTGTGACGTCACTATTGTTACCGCGGATTCCCTGGCAGGGTTTTTTTCCGATGGCATTTGGGTCTCCGAGTTGATATTGGGAATGATCGGTTGGTGGGTCCACGCGGGAGGCCTCCGAGGTGTTCAGCCTATTGGAAGAAGACAATGCACATGAACTCCTTGGGTGTGAAGTGAGCAGCTTTACTAAACGCTCACACATGTACCATTAATGTGTCAGAGCACCACAGTCATAAAAGGCTTAAAAAGAACATTAACGATGACATTGCAACTTGTACTAAGTATTAAGGGGACACATGAAAATTCCACTTTGACATATGTGCAGAGACGTAGTGTTTGTGTATCAAACTGCCGCAGTCCGACTTTGCTATTGTGAGAATTACAGACTGGTCGTAACGCATGCACGGTCGCTTCCGGGTTTTTTTTCTGCTATAGATTCGTCGCGCCCCTAATTTGCATCATTGTAATGGACGGCGAACTGGTAGGAGCGGTGACTTGTGGAACAGTGGAGACACTTTGTAGCGTCAGGGGAGTCAGTGGAAGTCCCTCGCTGCAGCCACCTGTAGCTTGTCCATGTGCCAGTAGATTGGCTTATGATCAGCTGCCCGGATGGCGAAGCTTGTATGACGGTGGAGGCACGGTGAATGTTGATGATGGGAAAGCTTAGTGGTTTCATTTTTCCGAGTCACACTGGGTCACTTGCTGTAATCCAGTTCTCTCCTGTGGGGAGTCATTTCCTTTCAATTTCAGAAACTGCGATACTTAAAGGAATCTTATTGTAGCACAGAAATCTGTCGAGCCGGTCTGAACGTTGAGACAAAGGTCACGACTACTTTCTGCACAGTGGACATCAGCACTCTTACCTGTCCATCTCCTTCCGAAGGAGCAGTGGCAGGTTCAGCCCTCCGAGCAACTTCTGACACTGAATCTGATACTGCTGACTGGGCTCATCAGGGAATGCGGTGAGTAACGCGTTCACATTCCCCAGCAGAGCTCCACCCTGAAAGACAAGTGCACCACAACGTTATTACTATGGCAGATTACTGCGAGTCCAAAGGTATTATAATGTGTGGAATAGTAATCTGTAGTTCTGCTGAGTATACCATCGCTCTGTGGTTGAACAAAAAAACTGTTTTCACAATGATTACTCGCGTAAGATTACTCAGACTATATGCAATTATTTTTGCGTCCCTTTCATTTCATTTGTTGCATACTAATACTTCTAGTAGTGACTCTGCAACTGACAGTACTACTCTTACTACTAGAAGAAAAAGTAGTAGTATTTCTACTGCACTACTACTACTTCTAGTGTTTCTACTGCTATTAATACCAAACCTACTATAACTTACCACAATTACAACTATAACTAATAATACTATCAATATTACTACAAACAACTTTAAAAAAAAATTGTATTTATCTCAGCTTTTGTTATTTCTGTTTTTTATTCATTTCAGCTCCTGCAACTTCTGTATTTTCAGAAAATCTATTGACATTCAGCGTGTCTTTTTTGGCTTTCTAATGCCTCAATTAGCAGCAATGTTTTAATAATCATTTCTGTATTTTTTTCAGCTTTTCTCATTTCTGCCTTTTCAGCAAATCTATTGAAATTCCCTTCAGCTTCTCCCATTTCTGTATTTTCAGCTTTGAAAAAAAAAATTCATTTCAGCTTTTAGCTTTCCAACACATTTTCAGCAGGAAGTGCATTTTCTAGTTTGCTCTGCTTTTGGCGTGAACGCCGTATGACTCTTCTCGACGAGAGCTGCTGTGTGCAGCGTCTGCTGATGTGACGTGACGCCCCTCCCTCCCTCCCTCCCTCCCAAAGCTCGCCCACTACTCGCACAGCGGCCCCTCTCAGCTGCAGCCAGAGCAAAAAAAAACCTGTGACCCACCAAAAACAGGTTCACGACCCACCAGTTAATAACAGGATTTTGTTTTATTTGAAACAACATAAGCACAGTAAAAAGAGTCCAAAAGAGTGTAGTAGTAAAGCAGTAATCCAAGTTAGTTATCATACCACCTAAACCAGCGGTCGGGAACCTATGGCTCTTCCGGTGACGGCATATGGCTCCCAGACCATTTTGAGTTGAAAAAAAAAAAAAAAATCTGTTTGATTTTCACTGATTTTAAAACACTTGGGAATGATCAAGTATGATATTTCTTAATAATACTCTCATTTTAAAGTAAACAGAAATGAGTTTTGAAGATAAATTTCACGGGTCAAGGGTCACCCGTGAGTCGGGTAGGGAACCAATGGCTCGCGAGCGTGTCCGGGTCATTGTAAAAGGTGAAGAAATCAATTTTATCAGACAGCCAAGTAGTTTATCCGCTTCAACCCTTGTAACGGAAAAGAGGGCGAAAAGAAAAAAAAGACGATGATTACCGTGTGATTCCAGGCTGCGTGGACAGACAGAGGAATTTGCATTTGTGGACCGAGCAGGATCTGCGGAATGTCTAATATGCAATGATAAAATTGCCAAATATAAAGCGGGACTTCGATGCGCACCATGCTTCATTTGCATCGAAGTCTCCCGCGGGGGAACAGCAGGAAAAGGGCATGCGAGGAGCTACAGCGGAGCGCGCCGACGAGTCAGCAGAATTCCGCTAGCTTTGCAGCACCAGAAGCCGCATTAAAAAGGAAGACATATCTAGTTTATTACACGGCTCTCAATGATATATATTTAGAACTATTTGGCCTTGATGGCTCTCCCAGTCAAAAAGGTTCCCGACCCCCGATCTAAACGGTTCAGTAGGATATTTTGTACTATTGTCCATCTGAGTCTTCGTCAAATGAAAACCAAACAGTTAACAGACAAAATACACCATACCACCAATATAAGGGACAATTTTTGTAATGCTCTTGTAGAAAAGTAGGCATTTGTTGTTTTCTCTTACCTGCATGGAGCACTCCATGACGGAGACCGCCATGACTGCGTCCTCTATGGTCACGGTCTGTCTGTACATGAGCCTGGCGTGAGCTGCCGGGTCAAAGGAAACCACTGTTAGTGATAAGAGCAGCTATTCATACACAAACCGTATGAATGTATTCACATTTTGGGTTCCCCCCCCTAGACAACACTGCACTAGTTTGATTATTTGCAGTTTCATGCCAATGAAAAGTCCCATGTTTACAGCACAGCTCGCTCGGAGCGTTCAACGTCATTACTGTAAAACTGCAATTAATGTTAATAATATTTGTCTCAATCACTGAATGAAGCCGGACATATTTGGGACAAGAATCGTGACCTTAAATTTCTTGCACAAAACACTTGATCAGCGCTCAGCATTTGTTTATTGTTGCCGTCACGATATCAAATGTTTATTGTGCGATTATTGCAACATTTATTGCGATATGCAATATTAATTTTCAAACCATTTTATGCCACTGATAACATGACAATATAATAGCATAGTAATACAAATTTGTATTATGAATTAAACGTAGTGTACATCTTTTACGTCGTTTATTCCCTTTTCGTCTCTTTGAAGGGTTTTTTCCATTTTTGGGGTAGTTTCATTGCTGATGTGAGGGTTTCGGGATACAAGACGTCCATGTGTACGAAATATGAAGCTCAGAGTCTTTAAATGAATGGATCACAACAAATAAATGTAGGCTGACTAACTTTTACATTTATATTGATTGAAAAGAGTTCATATTCCACCCCAACCTTCAGCCAGTCTGCTCAGGCTCTCCAGCATGCGGACGGTGGTGCGGGCAGCGTTGCGGTCATCACTTTGTCTCTGTAGCTGGTAGTAGCGTGTTAAGATGATGTTGGCCTCCTCAGACAGCTGAGGCTGGAGGCGTTTAATCACGCTGAAGTACGCCTTCATTTTCTCCATGGACCACAGGCTGGCAGATTCAGCAGGAAGCCCTGGAATTAAAACATGAGCACTGACATTTTACAGCAGAAATCATTCCTGATACTTTCATATACGTTCTCAATAACCACAGATTCAGATTTAAGCTTTTTTTTTCCTTCTTCAAAAGGTTTATCGTCTACCTCGGTCCTCCAGAATGAAAGTTGAGATGATCTGGTCCCACTCTGCGTTCCTGTTGTCCAGCAGAACTAAAACCAAGTCAAAGCGGCTCAGCAAGGGGCTGGCCAGAGCCACGTTCACGGAGAGCGGCTGGTTGGGATCGTAGTGGCCTTTGGGGTTGGCAGCTGCCAGGATGCTGGTTCTAGTATTCAGTTTACACACCATACTGTGAAGGGAGGAGACAATGTAGAGCAGCACAAACAGACCCATACGTCCAGCTTTGCTTCCTACAACCAATAGAGTGCAACTTTGTGACAACTGATTGCCAGGGTTGCTTTAAAAATATAATCAAGTTAACTGCAAAAACACGTATCAATGAACATAATCCAAATATATAAACAATGTAATTAGATTCATTTAGTTATCTTTTGCATTACCTCAATACCAAATAGGAGAGAAAGAATTACTACTTTTACTACTTAATATGTTGAGTATATTTGAGACAACCACTTTTAACCCTGTAGTCATTTTGTGTTGAACTGAGAGAGAAACCACTTGTAACAGTTGTGTTGAGCTATTTAAAATGTCTTTGTTTGAGTAGTGTGTTAAACAGATGAGTTTATATAGAAGTCTATACATTATGCAACAAACAGAACTTGCACAAATTGTTTGGAAGTCAAAATGTGTCTCTTACTTCTGACTAAAATGTATCAATTTAAAATGTGCGCTTTGAATTGAGCATCTCACATTTGTTGGAGAATTAGTTTTCTTAACGATCCTCCTTTTACCACTTTGACCGAAGACAGTGTCCCGACAAAGTAATTGGTTTCTGTCAGCGTACAGAAACTCCCTCAACCTGGTTCTGGTGGTTGGTATAAAACACGCTTTCACATTTTAAATTTAAAAAGAGAATTCCTTCTGTATTTAAACTCAATATAACTGCTAACCTGTGATATAGCACCTTTCTGGGTACAAATGGGACCAGGACTTCATACTAAGCTAAATCAAATTGGTCTTAGAAAAATGTCATAAAATTTGAAAAACATGCTGAACAAACATTTTGATTATGAAATGTTTTGGACCATGACAGACTAAACGTTGGGGTCACTTTTTACCCTATTATTGCATTTACTGACTAATGAGTGTTTTCCTGTGTCGATGTTGAAGGTTTTGGGATGGAGGATGTCACATCTCTACAAAATGCATTTAGTTTGTAAATTTGGGCAAAAAATTAATAAATTGACATGCACATTCTTGTTTACAGATTTTACACAGAACTTCACTTACATTTATCCAAGTCTCCCTTGATAGTCAAAGACAAAACAATGCAATGCTTCTGTTGGCAGCACAATATTCTTTTATCTGGTAATTAGCAGCAATGGCATCTGCTTTTTTTCAAAAACCTTGTAAATGGAGTTTTCTCTTCCGTCAGTCAAAAGTGTCTCAATACTACATGTCATGTATCCATTGGCACCCCTTCGTACACTGATGTTACCTGCCCATCAAGCTCCATGCAGACAGTAATAGCCATTCATACAGTTGCTGCAGTAATTTGGGACACAATGTACTAACAGGGACAAACTTACTGTACCACTGAACCCGTCACACCTCTACTTCACAACAAAACAATTCGACAAAACGACATAAGTTGGTGTTCTTTGCATTGATCAATAACACGAGCATGATGACATAAACGACTGTCCTACCCAGCTTTGGCCACACTAATAGACTGCTGCTCCATGGCTTCGTGGATGCTGATGCGGTCGTGCTCCTTGATGCTGTTGAACTCATCAATGCAGCACAAACCACCATCTGACAGGACCAGGGCTCCTGCTTCCAGATGCCAATCCCCTCCGTCCTTCACCGCTGCTACAGTCAGTCCTTCAACGGATGACATGGCGTGTCTAGTCAGTTCATCCAGTAAAACACGACGTGATTGGAAATTCATATAAATATATTTTCAAAAATCTCCCGACATTTAGCCAGGACGTTTTCCAAACTACTGCTTACTCCTGGCACGCCAGAGGTCCGAGATGAATGTATGTATCTGTGGGTAATGTGCAGCATGAGAGCTCACAGAGACCACAGCCTACCTGCACTTGTTGAGCCAATTCCAGCTGTGAGTACAGAGCGAGGCACGATCTTCGCTGCATACTTAAGGAACTGAGACTTTCCTGTACCAGGGTCCCCGACCAGCAACATATGACACTCGCCTAGAAGGGAACAGAAGTCAGTGACAGAATCCTGCTTAGTTCAACATTTCAATGCAAGTTTCTGTATTGTCACAGCAACAGGTTCAGCCTGCCAGAGGACGGAGTAGAGGACGAGCTTATTGTTGGCAAATTGATGGTCAATGAGCAATAACACTAATCCTTTGAGTATCTTTTAAGCCTAGTTTATGCTTCCGCGTTTTCAGAGAGACGCAGAATGAATTGAAACGAGTGCGTCTGCAGGACGCCAGCCTTTATTAGTTAGTGAACTGAAAATGCACGCAGCACTGACGAAACCTCCAGGGGAACGGCACTGTGCGAAGACAGTGAGAACGCTAGCTGAGCTCAAAGCCCATATCCTCGTGTCCTTGAACAGCGGCACAACAAAGCTGTGCTAACTGCGGTAAAGTATTTTATTGCATTAATCTCTTGCCAAGTTATTAGCAGGCTAAGTAGCATCACGTAAAATGATTTACGATGCATGTAATGGGTCAGTGTGCTTTCTGGACAAGTGAACCGAATGCAGTAAAGACGTGAACAGCAACAAACAGCAGCATCTGGGTCCAGACCCATTAGAAACTTGTGTCCTGTGTTTGAGGTTTTGACCGTAAACTAATAATTTCAGTAGTTTTACCTGTGCCGTGACAATGCAGTACATTGCAATAAACATGTTTAAAATACTGCTATTGATAACATAATATGAATGAGAGTTACCCCTGATCTTGGTCGCAGAAGAATCTACTCTCTGCACACCACCGGCCAAGACCATGGCAACCGCCAGCTTGATCACAAACATGCCAAATACCTGTGGGCACAAGCTCGACAGGATTGCGTTCCTACCTACAGAGCGAGGGGGGAGCGTTCAAAAGACAAATACAAACTAGGTTGAATATAATAAACATTGGGGTTTTTTTATGTTGCAAGGCAGTTGTTACTCACCAGCTATGGGATCATGTTTGTAGTTATTCCAGAAGTCATCAAACTCTTTCTGAACATCCTTCATGAGATGAGAAGCAGACGCCTGCTGGTTGCTCACTTCTATGTTGTTCGCTTTAAGGACCAGCTCAACATCACAGCAGGTTCCATCATAAAAGGGCTTCCAGCGCTGGTACATCACCCCATAAACAGGCACATCGACTGCTAGAGATACCCAATAAACAGTCACATAGTCTCTAATAAATACCCCATAAACAGTCACATCGTCTTGTAGAGATACCCCATAAACAGTCACATCGTCTCCAAGAGAAATCCCATAAACGGTCACATCGTATCCTAGAAATACCCCATAAACAGTCACATCGTCTCCTAGAGATACCCCATAAACAGTCACATCGTCTCCTAGAGATACCCCATAAACAGTCACATCGTCTCCTAGAGATACCCCATAAACAGTCACATCGTCTCACTAGAGATACCCCATAAACAGTCACATCGTCTCCTAAGAGATACCCCATAAACAGTCACATTGTCTCCTAAAGACACCACATAAACAGTCACATCGTCTTTAATAAATACCCCATAAACAGTCACATCGTCTGTAATAAATACCCCATAGACAGTCACATCGTCTACTAGAGATACCCCATAGACAGTCACATTGTCTCCTAGAGATACCCCATAAACAGTCACATCGTCTCCTAGAGATACCCCATAAACAGTCACATCGTCTCCTAGAGATACCCCATAAACAGTCACATCGTCTCCTAGAGATACCCCATAAACAGTCACATCGTCTCCTAGAGATACCCCATAAACAGTCACATCGTCTCCTAGAGATACCCCATAAACAGTCACATCGTCTCCTAGAGATACCCCATAAACAGTCCCATCGTCTCCTAGAGATACCCCATAAACAGTCCCATCGTCTCCTAGAGATACCCCATAAACAGTCACATCGTCTCCTAGAGATACCCCATAAACAGTCACATCGTCTCCTAGAGATACCCCATAAACAGTCACATCGTCTCCTAGAGATACCCCATAAACAGTCACATCGTCTCCTAGAGATACCCCATAAACAGTCACATCGTCTCCTAGAGATACCCCATAAACAGTCACATCGTCTCCTAGAGATACCCCATAAACAGTCCCATCGTCTCCTAGAGATACCCCATAAACAGTCACATCGTCTCTAATAAATACCCCATAAACAGTCACATCGTCTCCTAGAGATACCCCATAAACAGTCACATCGTCTCTTAGAGATACCCCATAAACAGTCACATCGTCTCCTAGAGATACCCCATAAACAGTCACATCGGCTCTTATAGATACCCCATAAACAGTCACATCGTCTCCCTAGAGATACCCCATAAACAGTCACATCGTCTCTAATAGATACCCCATAAACAGTCACATCGTCTCTAATAAATACCCCATAAACAGTCCCATCGTCTCTAATATATACGCCATAAACAGTCCCATCGTCTCTAATAAATACCCCATAAACAGTCCCATCGTCTCTAATAAATACCCCATAAACAGTCCCATCGTCTCTAATAAATACCCCATAAACAGTCCCATCGTCTCTAATAAATACCCCATAAACAGTCCCATCGTCTCTAATAAATACCCCATAAACAGTCACATCGTCTCTAATAAATACCCCATAAACAGTCACATCGTCTCTAATAAATATCCCATAAACAGTCACATCGTCTCTAATAAATATCCCATAAACAGTCACATCGTCTCTAATAAATACCCCATAAACAGTCACACCATCAGCTTTCTCTACTAGAAAGGTGGACATGAGGTAGAAGAACCTTGTGGTCCCGGTTAGTTGGTGATGGGACGTCACTATAACGTCTATATAGTGACAAAGCCTTTGGCTTGCTGGGGTAAACTGGCTCACGCATTTGGAGAAGCTGATTCGATGCATTATTGTTGACAACGCTTCCTCTTTACAGTTCTTACCAGACTTACAACTGTCAACAAGGTCGTCCTCCAGAACCACCAGCATGGCGCGAGGGATACTGCCCACTGACAGCCTCTGCACCTGTGTGTGTGTGTGTGTGTGTGTGTGTGTGTGTGTGTGTGTGCGTGTGTGTGTGCATGCACATGCATGAGAGGGGGGGGGGGGGGGGTTCGACATTTTATCTAAGTACCATCCATACACACTAAAAATGAAAAATAATCTAACAGCATAACTGTCCTACCTGCTCTTGGATTTTAATCTCTCGGAAAGTCTTGGAGAAAGGAGGCTCTGACCCTCCAGAACAGACAGCTGAACTTGAAGGAATTACAGCCTTCAGGATTAGGACAGCTCTCCGGTGGGACGAAGATGTAGAACTGGACAAAGTCAGCCTGCACCGTGAAAACGTGCCGACACTTTGTGCACATGTAGTCACGCTCGTATTCCAAGACCTACGACGAACATCGTATATTGGAAGCAGAACAAAGCAAAAACATGGAGCTACTTCATTTATTTCCATTTATCTATTCTCGCCTAGGTAGGTAAGTGTGCATTACATTGAGCTACTAGGACTTTAGAAGAACACCTATAAATAATTCTCCTGTGAAGAAGCTCTGTTCCAGGCACAGACAACACGATTATCTCACTAAAAACCCCTGTGTCCTGCAGGCTCATCAGTGTAAGAATGGATGCGTTTGATTCTGATGGGCAGGTCGCACCTGGCTTTGTAGGGCCTCTCTTCGACGTATGCATGCGAGTGAATGGATGAACGGATTCCTGCGATGCGGTTACCTTGGTAACACTGGTGCGTATGACAGTACCAGTGACAGACAGAAAGTGTCCTACATCTCTGGACCTGGGAATGGTGTCTCTGGTCAGCTCCGGACACACTGGCAGACCTGGGCGCACAAAAAAGGCAAACAGAAGGGCAACTTGTATCCAACAGGGGTCGTATTTAAATTACATTTGCATTGCATATCACACGGTGATAACTATCACGCATCATGTAAAGGCCCAATAGGCAGACTATTTGTGCCACACATTTTACCAAACTACTGAAACAGCAAAAAGCAATGAGAACGGAGGAAAACGATGAACATAGTGTGCACATGACGGCACCCTCCACACTTATCAGACCGCATTCCAGAAAGACCATTCGGAGGACATGGGAACACTGATTCCATGAGTTGTCATTACAATGAGCTTTGGGGCATTTTTAAAAAGGAAATCAGGCATTATCCGATCAAACCAACAGCTACAAGCTAGTCATGTTGAGTACACACAAAATACATTATACTACCCAAAAATGACTGATACTTCAGAGTGGAAGATACTAGAAAGCGAATGTACAAAACCCCTTACAAAACAGGTTGTGAGCAACATCTGGTAGCATCTGACCATCATTCCCAGTAGTTGGATGCAGAGCTTAACATTAACATCTTTGCTCACCAGCCACTGTGGCTGGTGGTTTTCCAACTTCACGGAGGACCAGGGACCTTACTGCAACACTTTGTTGTCGCCCTCCGTTTAGTCGCAATGCTTCTGACATGGCCAACGGAAATGTCATGGTCCTTTATTGCCCCCACTGTAAACTCGCTTGTCCCCACTATAAGAACAGACCCCCTTTAACCTGTTCACTCATGTACGTGATAGAATCAGTGCAACACATTATTTTCTTGGCTGGATCACAAACCAGACATTCTCGACTGGACCTCGACAGTTTCTTTTTCTCCTCTTCATTAGCAGATGTCTGACCTGTGATGCGTGCATGAAGAGTGGGTCCCATTTTCGCTGTTCTTTGTCCTCCATAACTCGATAACTCCAGTGCTTTTTTATGTAACACTTTATCAAAGAGAGCCAAGACATCGTCGGGATTGGAGTTGAAATAATCTCCAACCTGTGGATTGATATGAATACCATGGAATTAGTTATACATGTATCCATCCATGTTGGTGCACTGTCAGAACAGACGTATCATGCCATGGCAGTCTTGGCCTTAGGACTTCTACATGCCAATTAATTATATATTTTAAACTCAGTCAAAGCACAACCTACTGGCAAACCATGGCTGTAAGCATGAGTATATACTAATTACACAACTCTAAAACAATGAAAAATGTAGAATGTGTATTTTTAAAAGCATGGTTTTCCAAGTAAAATGTTACGTGTTAAATATTTGAAGAATTCTGCCTTATAAAATAAAAAACACAGTTCAATGAAATGACATTAGGTTGATTATATCCCACGTTATCCGTATAACATTGTGATATATTGGTACTGGGGAAATATGCTGCATAATACCATACAAACTTATTTCTATAGTAGTGTAGTCAGTATATTGCTCCACCAGAATTGAATACATTTCAAGTAGACCAACATATTATTTAGAATACAGTAGGTTATGTTTAGACTTGCATTCCCATTACCTCCATATTGGCTTCAAACAAAGTCATGGCATTAACCAGCACAGAGCGATGGGCCTCTTCGCTGGTGTCTGCAAGCAGCTGCGCGATGTCCCCATGATGATGATCGGTCAGATAGGTCTCAAACACCTGGCTGATCAAGGCCTCCTGACTGGGGTTCGTCCACATAGTGAAGGGATGTGACCTGAACCCTTGGGAGTATCAGACGGTCATGGCTTCACGTTTATAGTCGGTTGTACCAGCGTATCCTAGTTAATATCATATTTATACTTCATAGTAAAAGTCACCGTTCCCCTGTAGCTCCTCGTCCAACAAGCAGCCGCGTTCACGCGCCGTCTGTCACGATGTCAGCGGCATCGTTTGGCTGGAACTAGGACGTATAACGGACGTTCAAACTGTCTCTTTTGGCGCGCGGGCCGAAACGGAACCGGAAGCTGAGCGGGTGTGACGTTCTTCTTCTGCTCGTGCAGCAGACGACGGCAAGAAGGGCGCGTTGCTGCCCTCCACAGGCCAACTGGAGTAATACTGTATCGTTTAATAACATGTTTAGGTTACTAGTTTATCGAAAGACTGCGTGTCTTAAAGTTGGTAACAGAGAGTTGCACTCAACGTTAACCCTTTCATGCATGAATTAATTCTAATATAATTATTTACCAGGTGTTTTTAATGCTCTTTAGGCATTACAGAGTTTGACTTCAGTTTTTTTTAATCTATTTTTTCCAAAAATATTTTAACATGTCCACTCCGGTGGACAGCATGCGTTTGGGTTTTCAACTAATTGGCAAAGCCCCCAAGACTCAAAGCCACAAAACAACTGCACACAGCTGTACTTGGTTCTCCGTGTACATGCAGCATCATGGCATCTGTTGGCATTTTTTGCTTCAGTGAGCCGGGTCCAGTGGTTTCCAGAACCAAACTGGATCTCAAGAGGGCCTTGGACACTGCTCTGCACCTCAAAGGAGGTGGGGTGGCACTTGGTCTTTGTCTTGCACATGTCTGGATGGATCCTGCATTTAGGAGCGCACAAACTACAGATGCCTTAAAGGGCAGGAGATCCATCTGTTCCAGACCAAACCATTTGTAGAAGTGCTAGGCATTCACAGTGGTGATGTCCAAGAAGAAGAAGAAGAAGAACACTCTGATGTACCACCTTTTGTTGTTGCATCTGGATACCTTGTGACACATTGATCCATGAGATATTTCCCTCCCATATGCTGATTATCACAACTTCACAGAAAATGTCCTTGTGTTTCTATGCCCAAAGGGGTGCAAAGGAAGTAAAGAAATTGTCCAAAAACACCTTTGGTTTCTTTTGCTGTATGTTGTCACAGAGGCGCATAACTACGTCAGTGATGCATGACGTCCAATATAGTGGACAGATAAATAATCATAATTTCCTCCCTATATAAATGCAATACTTGAAAAATGTGTGACTTATATGATTTCTTAGATATAAGTTGACATTTTTCTACCTGGAAAGGTCTCTTTGAATAGAAGGATTGGCAAGATATTGATGAGTGACTCGACGTTTCCGATTGTCTGCCAGCCATCTTGGCTTTGAGAAATTTATCTTAAAGGGATTTTGTATTTGCTCATATAGCCGGAAACTAGACATTTGGCCAATGTTTTGTAAAGCTACCATTGCCTCCCTGGAAAATTGGTTCTGCTTAATTAATCATTCATTTGTCCCTTTCTATTGTTTTAGCGTGCATGGGAATAACCTTTAATTAGCTCCAATCCGATGCAACAATGTGCATATGTGTTAATATTAACTTTAAAAACTTTTAAAATCACCTGCCTTAGGATTGCAACATTACATTACAAAGTTCATGGCTTCAATTTTAATTATTGTCTCCTCTCAGGCTGTTATATATCATGCTCCGGAGGTGAAGCATATCTTCCTAAATCAAATTAAATAATAAGATTACCATCTCTATTAGCATTTTATACGTTTTTCGAGTTATAAGGCTTTCCCTGTCGAGCAAAGCAGGTTGCTGAGCAGTTGAAGCTCACTCTGCTATCCATTAGTCGTCCTTGAAGCGAGCCAGACCGGAGTAATCGCCTCGAACATACAATCGCTTGTCTAATGTGGGACTTCCTTGTTGGGCAGGCGATTTACACAACTACCGGGAAATATATGCTAATTTTTCGGACTTTTCTCTGCTAACACAATACGAAGTGTAGTCATTGGGTTCCGACGTTGTCTCAGCCGTAACGGGAAACCCATTCCCCGACGTTAACGTCATCATCAACGTTAGCTAGCTAGCTAGTAAGCTAACGCCAACGTAAAGGCTCTGTTACGCTCCACATTAGCCATGTCCGCTTCGGCTGGATGCTCCCCGGTGGCTCAGAGCTCGGGCCTGGGACCAGGCATGTCTATGTTTCGCTGGTTAGAAGTGCTGGAGAAAGAGTTCGACAAGGCCTTCGTGGACGTCGATCTGCTGCTCGGAGAAATCGACCCGGATCAAGTGGATATCACGTACGAGGGTCGGCAGAAGATGACCAGCTTAAGCTCCTGTTTTGCTCAACTCTGTCACAAAACCCAGACGGTTTTCCAACTGAACCACAAACTAGAAGTAAGTGACTATTTTCGGTTGACTGAGGTTATTCTTCGTCTGGACCTCGTTCAGTTGGCAGAATACGTTCGTGACAGATGAACACGGTCAACTAACGTATAGCTTTATTCATTTTAAATATTAAAAACATTAATAAATAGATACATCAACTAAATTCAAGTAAATGAATGAATAAGACAATTATATGTTATGAATACTAGCTTTAAATACGTTTTTGAAGGTAAAATGTTATTTAAATTGTGTAAATACTTACTCAAATCTACAGAATACATTTACACAGACCAGACTTCAAAGTGAACTACACGGAATTCAGATACTTCCTGGTTACTGTTTTGCATTTGACATCACCTGTGAATTAACCACCTCAGAGAATATCAGGATATTCTTATGTATAATTTCAGTCCCTTTTTATATCACATTCATAAACCAACTTTCCCAAAGCTAGTTTGCACACTTTATTTTAATATGTTTTTGGTGGACAAGCCACATAAAGGAGACATTATTTCTAAGCTTGTCTGCTCTCTTTACCACCCAAAGGGCAAAGCTGAGCCTACAGTGTTGAATTAAGAACAGATGCAGGTTGGCCTAATGTTGTGACAATCGTTCTTCTACCTCGCTCTTTACTCGTAGGCTCAGCTGGTGGACCTACGTTCTGAGCTCACTGAGGCCAAAGCCGAGCGGAAAGTGATTGAAAGGGAGGTCCATGACCAGCTCCTGCAACTTCATGCCCTCCAGCTGCAGCTCCATCCCAAGCAAGGCCAGGCAGAGGACTCCGACTCCATCAGGGACAGACTGGTAGGTAGGAGTAATGGTGCGTTCCCACCAAAAGCCAAGCGAATTATTCGCGCGAGTAGATTCCATGTAAAGTCAATGCACAGATGCGTCTGGTCGCGAATGAGGCGAATTTTAAACGGGCGGCGCAAAAGACGTGAAAGACGCGGCACCTGGGACGCAAAAAAGGGAAACGAGCAAAGCGAATAAATCGCTTTTTCGCCCGACGCTGTCTTGCGAAAGCCAATCAGCGGTGAGATGCTCCGCTCGTCATCACCGCCGTCCTGCTGCCACAGCGTGAATACACTTTATTAAACGGCCGCTCACCGGAGACACAACAGGTCACACAACGACACAACAGGTCATCAGGCCGGCTGAAGAAAATTAATCTAAAAGATGTTTCTAATGTTTTCATCAAAATGGGAAAGTCATTATTTCTAAGATAATTGAGCTGTGTCAACTCTGGTCTCTAAATTCAAGAGAGATTTTCCATTTGCACACCAACATGATATTTCACAATGTTCATGAAAGATTATTGAAAATAATCCAAACCAATAAAATAGCCTTCTTTCATTGAGAGCCTTTGACCAAGTGTAATTTGTTGAATTACATCAGATAATTTAATTATTTCAAAATAATGTAATGATTTCAAAATGAATTCAATGAACATGGTGGTCTGAGGAAAATTTCAGTTGCAGAATGGCTGCTTTTGCTTGCTGCTCCCTACTTCTTTTTCTAATGCTTCCAACTGCCTCTATTATTTATTTTTTTAACTGATATGCATGTTACTTACAATGAATGTCTCTTGAATTTAATACAATCTTACAATCTCAGTTTCCTGAAACAATTAACCCTGTCATTCTTCTCCTCTTCATCTGCTTTTATTTTCTCAAGCCTGCACCATCTTTGGAGAAAATGGTAAGTTGCTGTTAATGTATTTTGCCTGAAATCAGTTTTTTTTTAAACAAGGGCTTTGGATTGAATGGAGAATGTTTAACTACACCTGCAGGCCTGAGTCCACGCGACACCTTCATTTTTCAGCTGCTGGGGGCGCGCTCACGTGTGCATGCAACGTGTCTGATTGCGCCCATCAGGACGGAACTCCCCCGTGTCCAGACATCAGTGAATAAATGTAAAAAAAGATATATGAAAAGAGACATTCTTGGGTGGGCGGGGTGGGACGCATTTTTTAAATGTAATGATTTAAAAAATGTTAACCCCCACCCAGTTCAGTTTACCAAGTAATCAATACGCTAGGTAATGGCAAAGACGTTACCACACAACATTTACGTTTCTGCCAGACAATCTTCCCAACTAGCTGCATCCAGGGTCCAGCTGAACTACGTTGGCATTGTTTTCTTTTATTTCAATTATATGCTTTTGCAAGAAGAAAAAAAAGGGTATCAAATATAAATGCAAAATAAACAAATATGACTGTAGTGACCCCTTTGCCCATCAAAAGAACTACAGCGCTGCATACGGTGCTAAAACAAGCAAAACGAGTCAATATTATAAAAACAACGAACCTCTCTGTCAGAAGGAGGGAACCGTCTCAACCATTCCACTGATTGGTCCACTTTTGAATGAAATCCTTCCGCTAGTAAGCAATTCGCATTAGTTTTACGTTAGCTCCCGCGGTCGACCACGCATGGGTGACGTGACGCAATTCTTTTATCACTGGCATTTACTGGCACTGCCTTGGACCTGTTGGGTCATACACCATCAAACTACCCTCAAACGCTCTTCCACGGTCATAAACAGTTTGCTCCCCAAACACATCTGTGGTGGCATATTGTCCTCCTAATTATTATATGGATGTCGCAGCCCCCCCAAAAGAGGCACCTTTTAAAAAAAGGGTTAATTGACAACAATATTGAGCCCCTGTTATGACGGGTCATGTAAATAAGCAACCTGTACCTCAGTTTACAGGACCTTGACATATTAATTTATCTGTGCTGCCAGGGGTCAGAACAAGGTCTTCTTATCTTGTCTGGCATGCTTGTTGTGTTGTGTAGGTGTGTGGTGTTCACGTGTGTTCTGCTTGTTCCAGGAGCAAGAGCTCAAGGTCAGCAAGAAAGAGAAATTTGAAGACGCAAGGCTGGAGGCAGAAGTGAGACTATTCAAGAAAGAAAACGAGGCTCTTCGCAGACACATGGCAGTACTGCAGGCCGAAGTGTACGGCGCCAGGCTTGCTGCCAAATACTTGGACAAGGAGCTTGCTGGGAGGTACGGCGGTGGAGATCAGAACACCCCAAGGCTAACGTTTAGAGGTTTCTGGGAACTAGAATGAAATGATCAACAAATATAGCACTAAAACGACCACAATGCATGTTTTAATTAACGATGCTACACAAGCTTCGTAATAGCAGGTTTCCAGTTTGGGGCGGCTTCTTTGATGGCATAATCCATTTTGTCCTTGGCTAAGACACTTAATTCTGTGACTTTGTGAATGTTCGTTACTGATGGGCAGGTGTCGCTCTATGTATCGTAGCTCCTGTCATCAGTGTGTGAATGGGATGTGTAAAAGAGCTTTGCTAGTCCGAAGACTAGAAAGACATTTACAAGTGTAAGGCCATAGATAATCTATATTCAGGTACATTGATGAATGAAAATGCCCAACTTCTCTTAACCAGAGAGATAAAAGGCAGGCGACCTATAACTAAATCAAATACGTTTTCTTGGCTGAGCCCTGAGAATGTTTTTATTTGTCCTCCAGGGTTCAGCAGATTCAGTTATTGGGCCGTGACATGAAAGGGCCCGCACACGACAAGCTGTGGAACCAGCTGGAGGCTGAGATTCACCTCCACCGCCACAAGACCGTCATCCGAGCATGCAGGGGGCGCAATGACCCGAAGAAACCTCTTCTCTCTCCAGTTGGGCATGTCAGTGTAACTCTAGAAAGCAGATGAAACCGTTGATGCCTTTCATTGTTTTCTGAGGTTTAATGTGATCTGTGATGTGTCTAACTATAGGACCCAGACATGTTAAAGAAGAGCCAGGGAGTTGGCCCCATCAGGAAGGTTGTGCTAGTCAAAGATGATCACGAGGGGCTTGGAATCTCCATTACAGTAAGGAGGTTTCTTTCTTAAAAGTCTATAAAGCCTGTAGAAATACATGAATGAATAGATTGGAAAAGCACCAGGGAATAGATATCACAGTACAACACTAATGCAACTCGACCACAGGGGAGGTCTGCTGCCACTACCGTAATGCCTGTTACATACAGAACCTGGCAGGGTACAGTACCAATTGAGCCCCGCTGACTTTTTTGACCTTATGTGCCTCAAACTATAACACCCAATAAGCAGCTAACTATCCCTGCAACAGCAGTGCACCAAATACCTGTATAACTCACATTGCCTTTATAATCAGAATCCAAAGCGTTTTGTTGTCACATATGTTACACATAGAGGAATTTATATATGTATACACCCTCAACAACAGCCCTTTCCAACTTTAGACTTCAGGCATTCCTGAGAAACGTATACAACTGGTAAAGAGTCAAAAAAAAAAAAGTTAAATAGAATAATTTGCTTCAAAGACCAGTTCCCCTCTAATGATTTCTACTTAATACTGTATCTGATCAATGTAAGCAGTATTTGTGACAGATGTGCCTCCTTATGTTTTCATACATTTACCTTTGTTTGTGCTGTGGTATTAAGCAGGTGGCGACCTTATCAATCTCTCTCTCTCTCAAACATGTATTCTAAATGCATTTCATCAAGCTTTACACAGCGAACACAACTCCCTTGTGTCTCCTGAATAAACTAAACCGCGTGTGTGCGTTATAGAGAATACGCAGCAGAGCACTGCTCTTAGCTGGTCAAAATCTCTCACATTAATAAAAAAAACATTCCTGGCATCGCCGCACTACACATCTGGCTGATGATAGTTGCATGTGTTCTGTGAACAGGGTGGGAAGGAACACGGCGTTCCCATTCTAATCTCAGAGATTCATCCGAGTCAACCTGCAGACCGATGCGGAGGTCTGCACGTGGGAGACGCCATCCTTGCTGTCAACAGCATTAATTTGCGAGACGCCAAACACAAGGAGGCTGTCACCATTCTGTCGCAGCAGGTACGCCACACAAACGGCACACAAACGACGCACACTGACGCAGCAAAGTGTTCATCCGTGGTTCTTTTTGTCAGCAAGGACAGATCGAGTTCGAAGTGGTGTACGTGGCTCCAGAGGTGGACAGCGATGATGAGAATGTGGAGTATGAAGACGACAGTGGGCATCGTTACAGACTCTACCTGGATGAGGTGGACGACTGCAGCACAGCGCCACCCAGCAGCGGCTCAGCAGCCCTGCATGGTAAGTTTGTACGAAGCATTAACATGTGTTTTGTTTAATAGTAAGGATTTATTAGTTGAGCTAGTATTTTTAAATCACCCTGTCACTTGTATAAAGTTTCTGTGTCTGGTGTGGATTTATGACAGAGGAAGAATCAATGTGACTAAGTTGGTCAAAGCAAAGCAGAAATCTATTTTAAAAATAATCTTGTGTTGGTCTGTTCTCCTAGAACCGAGGTGTGAATAATTGATTGTTCTGATCAGAGCTGACATTAAGTGACAATCACGTATTATACATCTATCTGTGTTACCCTGTAGCGCTGGAAAAGATGTCCTTGAGCAATGGTGCAGAGAACAGAGACACTGGGATCTCCAGTGAGACGACTGCAGAGGAAACCCCTTCAAAGCCCCCCGAGACTGACTGCTCCTCCTAGAGGTTCCGCATCATTGTTGGTATTGGGAGATTTATTGAGAGGATTGTGGGTACAATCCCTCTTTAAGAACTGAATCAGAGAATTGTTTGACAAGGAAAATAAACCCAAGAATGTCTTAACAACACTATAAGAAGACCATATGTCCTCCATCCCATGACATGTTCAATCAGACTGAGAAACCAACCCTGGGACTCGCTCCGGGCCCAGGGGCCTTTACTGCATGTTGTCTCCCTCACCATCAGAAAAGGAAGAAATGTGAACATGTATGTGCAGAAAAAAAGAAAAACCCTGCAAAATACATATCAAGTGGAAAAATGCTTTATATTTTGCCTGTTACCGATAAATCTGATCAAACCTAAAAAGTGGAACAGGGTAAAATGCTCTGATGTTTTTACCTACACAGCACATTTTGTTTTGACTCTCGATTTACCAACTCTTAGTCCACATAAAGTTCTGTAATACAGGTGTTTGAGCTGATCTGTCATGCAATTTGACAACTGTGATGTGACTCCTCGGTAATTTCCAGCGTGCGCCTTAATGCTTTGACAAGAACCATTTCAAAGGCACCTCTTAATCCCAAAAGTGTCGTCCACTTACCGTAACAATCGGTCAATAAGACTCCTGAAGCAGGGCAATAGTACCTTTTTTTTTGTTGTTGTTCAGTGGGTCTTGTTGAGACATCAAGCTCTCCCAAGCCGACATCAAGCAAAACAATCTTACAATGAACACTATGCTGTTTGTCCATTTTAGGCTGAAAGGAGAAAAGTTATCTTGCATCTTAAAAGTGGCAAATATCCTTTTGAACGTTTTGATCAATGCTGTATTACAGGGGTCCCCAACCACCAGGCCATTTGCTACCGGGCCGCAGAACAGAAGGAATACTTTTTTGTTGTTGTTGTGATTTGGCAGTTCTGCCCAAAAAAAGTTGGGGACCACTGCTGTATTAAGGTGTGTTGTTATTGTGTCACACCTCCTGGTATGTAATGCATTACAATACATCAAAGCACAAACTACTGTTGAGTGGATTGAGAATGTGTGACACAGATCTATCTGGTCTCCAGTGATAGTTTTGGATCCGCGGCTCTGTGACCTTCCAGTATTCACACGTCACTCTTTACCTGCTTTTTATTGTTCCGCTTCATTGCTTTGTGTCTACCAAGTCTTCACACATACAGTGCTATGAAAGAGTAGTTGCCCCCTTCCTCGTTGCTTATTTGTTATACTATACAACTTTTAACATGATACAAAGATAAACCAATGTACTACAAAATGCTTCTTTTTTTTTTTAAATGATTATTTATCAAGTTTAGACTTTTTGGAAAAAGTAATGCCCTCCCCCATGCGTCCCCTTCCATCTGGCGTAAAAGCATGACACAATTCAATTCAATTCATTTTATTTTGTATAGCCCAAAATCGCATATTACAAATTTGCCTCACAGGGCTTTACAGTCTGTACACATGCAACATACTCTGTCCCGAAACCCTCACATCAGCACAGCTTCACCTTAAAAGAGCTGACCGAATCTGCCCCCCGGACTGAAAGTGGAAGCTGGTTCCACAAAATAGGAGCTTGATAACTGAAGGCTCTGGCTCCCTTCCTACTTTTTAAAACCATAGGAACAACAAGTAACCCATCATGGGCTGATGATCTCAGGTGATCATCTGTGACGATGGAGCCCACACAGGGTGATGGTGGAAGGTGGGGCTGCGTTCTTCCTAGAATCTACAACCATCTCCACTGTCTTTAGAGCGTTGTGCTGCAGGTTGTTTTGGCTGCACCACATCACCAGATGGTCAGACCTGTAGGTGACTCATCCCCACCAGGTCAGTCCAATGAGCAGGCACAGGCATTTTGGGGGGCAGGTGCTCAAACCAAAACCCATTAAAAATAATAAATAAAAAACGGTAGGATATTTTCAACTTGCATATTCATTTTTGTTAAACTAACTCAAATTGAATAAATAAATAAATTACGGGGAGGGAGGAAGGGGAGCAGAGGGGGCTTGTCAGCCCCCGTAAACGCCCGGAAATCTCCCTAATTTCCGACAGTTTCCGACAATTTCCAACGCGCGCACGTCGCGTTTGTCTGTGCCACAAATTGTCCGAAACGAACCGTGACGTATGCGGAGAGCTGGCGGAGGTGCGAATGGCCCCAATTAGCATATGAATGCAGCGAAACCGCGAGTGGCCGGGCCGAGCGGGCTTGAGTTTCCTTACTCCTTATTGAATGAAACCACCCGCCACACTATATATATATCATATTATGCTGTATATTCATTTCATTGTTATCCTATGTAGGCTACTACATTATTATTAGGATACCATCCAGGATATCAATGAATTTATAGAGCAGCGGTTCCCAAACTCAAGAATGCCGCGAGCCAATTTGAAATCTGAAAATCTTTCGCCGCCCACCCAAACCTTTAATCACAACTCTGATCAAAACATAATGATTAAGAGACCTTAAGAATTTAACCAAAATCAAACATCCGCGAGCAAAAGTCCGTCCCCGCGAGGTATTTGCTCGCTTGCGAAACGTGAACTTCGTTGCTCGCGAGGAGAATCTCTGCTCGCGCTCGAAGGAGTTTTCTACGCGCTCGCCATTGTTCTTTTTGACAGTAAGGTGGAGACGGTGCTTTCAGGGTCCGATCGATGCTGCGAGGTGCGTCCGCTCCCGCTGCCCCCCTCGCCATCCATCCCCTTGCCTTCCATCCAAAATGAGGCAGGTGACCAATAGCGACAGATCTGCCAACCAATCACGAGTGATTTTACTTGTTTGAAAGTTGTGGTTTCATCCAATAAGGAGTAAGGATATTCAAGCCCCCTCGGCCTTAAATCTTTGGCTGCTTTTAGAATAATTTATTTTCCCCGTTAAGATGGTTCAGCTACTGTAAAGAAAAGTGCGCCTTGGAGTGCGGAAAATGCGGTGTATTTACTTTAATACTACAAGAGGGCGCCCCATTGTTGAACAACGACAGGCAGACAAGAGCAGCCATTTCGAGCGAGAGCCTTATTGTTTTATTAATCTGTCCGTTTAAAATGTTTGTGCTTCATCAACTAATGTTTCACATAACTAATGTGCCGCATCATAAATATTTTTATATTAATTTCAAACTTTTAAAAATTGAAAATTAAAAAACTTTATTGTAATTGTAATCTCGCGGCCCACCAGGGGCCGCGGCCCACACTTTTGGAATCGCTGTTATAGAGGAAATGAACATTTTCCAGGAACATGTTTATGCGAGAGCTTTATTAACAACATACAAACAACTATATACAAAGTGAGGATCTTCCCACACTTGGGTAAAGGCGGTTTAAAAAACTACAGCTCAGTAAACTGTCCGTTTGCCTCCTCGGAGTTGTAGACGGTCACTGGCCGCGTGTTTTCCGGCAGCAGGAGCTGGCGCAAATCGTGGCACTGGCAACCCGACGAGGCACTTCCTGTTGCAGGTTGCGGTGCCGCGTCGAATCGCGGCAACTGCGATTTCACGAGGTAGTTGCCACGGCTTCACGACAGCTACCTCGACTTTGCGCCAGATAGTTGGCGTTTTATTTCCCAAATATGTGATATGTTTGTTTTATAATTTGCCAATATGTGACAATACAATACTGCCTTTAAAAGTACTAGTGTTGGTAGTTATTTTATTAATAAAAAGCCAATAAGTGATACAACGGCTTCCCATTTTAGTGCAGCTAAGCGAATATGGACTAAGATCACTTTACAATCTCTACTTCGAGAACTAATCAATTTGTATGTGATTGGAGATACAGTTCTTCTGAATATAGTAACACACGTGTCTGTTTTTTTGCTCGTCTTGCATGTACTGCTGTATGAGTCATGCCTATGACCTCACACGTGATTGGACGAGGAGTCTAAGGGTCCTCCAATCACATACGAGGTTATTGTTATACGGAAAGACTCGCGAGGCCAGCTGAGCTCGCGTATAAAGACCGGTGTGCCTGCCTATGCTGTGAGTTGAAAGATGGAAGTCCTAACACCGAAGAAAAGACCGCGGCGCTACTGTGAACATTGCAACGCTGAACTCTGTCATACGCAGTATTTTGACCACAGAAAGCGCTATTTCAAAAATGGAGTTTGGGAGAAAAAGCCCAAAAGGACGAGGTCAGAACACGCACAGAGCCTGTTGCTATCCAGCCACGAGCCAACCGGCGGGAGTTATGTTCAACCTGGAGTTGGAGAGATTGATGAAGGCGAAATCAAGTCCGAAGACCAGGAAAAAGAAGTGACGGAAGAACACGGAGAAATGCGGCCAGCGACTGGCGGTTCAGACAACGGCGAGCACCACAATCGTAAGTTACGCCTGTTTTATGCTCCTGCGTCGAATCGACGGCGAACCCTCGACGACCCATTCTACAGGCCTCATTATGCTTCTGCGTCAAAGCTACGCCGACACAGCTGCGGCGTCGTTGCCGTTTTAAGGTTCTGCGTCGGGTTGGTGTTCGCGAATCTCTTTGCTAGTTTGTTTTGGTTCCGTGCGCCGTTTCCGCTTTCTCATTTCTGACCATGGCGAGCGAGAGAGAGAATGTTGTTGCAGCTGGAGCTTATCGACGTTGAACAACAAACGATTTTATTGCAAATGTTAAATCGCAGACGAAAAGAAGACGACCAAACGTTCCTCAGGTTGGTCCATTGTTGTTGTTATTGTGGTTGCAAATTGTCCGAAACTGTCGTTTCGCTTTAACAATGGCGGTATACCGGAAGTGGAAACCGGAAAAGCGACCAAGGTTTGTTTTCAACGATGGACCAAGCTGAGGAACGTTTGGTTGTCGTCTTTTTCTTCTGCAATTTAACATTGGCAATAAAATCATTTGTTGTTCAACGTCGATTAGCTCCAGCTGCAACAACATTCTCTTTCGAAACTAGCAAAGAGATTCGCGAACCCCACCCCCTTGCGTTCTGGCGGTGAAATGCAACGCAACCCGACGCAAAACCACAAAACTGCAACGACGCCGTAGGAGTGACGGCGTAGCTACGGTAGAGTTGACGCAGAAGCATAATGAGGCCTTTACTGTCGAGTGTGGTTGCTTCTCACGGTTAAGGTTATTCTAATAATTAAATACGTAAATATATGCATGGGTTGTTTTCCAGATGAATCAGCAGATGACCAAAGCATTAATCTTTTCCTGGACTCCTGTAATCCCGAGTCAGTGCAAGATAATCAAGACCTCTCCTGTTATGTGGTAAGGCATGAAATTACCTTTGAATATAGCCTACACGTATAAAGTTCTAGCAGCTGTACATGCAATCCAGAGCTCAACCGGGAAAATCCAACATGTTTCACCTGCACTGTTCTCCATTCTCAGTACTACTACTGGTACTCTGTGTATTGGGCATTGCATGCATTTTTAATATGCCTACTTTACATTTGCACAGGCTGCGTCTGTGAAAAAAGAGGAGGAAAGCCTTGATGAGGAGCAGAGTCAAGTCTATCCTCAGATACAAGATTGGAGGGGGAATGGAAGTGATCAGTCCATAAGTGTAAAACCAGAAGACTTGTTCAACTCGCCTTCAACTCCTCTCCACGGTCAGCAACTTTTGGCCAGTCCGCAGACAGACGAGAAGAAGCTGCTGAATGCGCTCAGTGGATTGTCTCGTCAACTCCAACAACAAACCGCCGATATCAACGAGCGGTTCGCTCAACTGGAGAGTTCGGTACTCTCCAGGTTGCTGTCCATAGAGGAGAGGTTGGCGGCTCTGGAGTCGCACAACTGCGCGGGAGGAACTGACTCCAAGAAGAAGAGACGGGCGCACAATCCCAAGATAGCGGTAAGAATATGTTCGATGACTGCTAGCTAAGCTAAAAGTAGCGTAGCCTAAAACGAAAGCCAAGAGTAGCCTAGTAGTCTTTCAAGTGAGCAGAAACTGCTTGATTAAAGTGTGTTTTCTTTGCCGTGTCGTTTACAGGAAGCGGTGCGCCGTCTTCACAACTCCGAGACAAATAACAGGCGCTACGCACCGGAGCAAGGGTAAGATTTAAAGAATATGCTTTCATTCTGCGCTATAAGGAAATGTATACGTAATGGATGCCAATCATAACTGTACATTTTGTTTTCACAGACTAACCTCGCCTCATAATGAGGCGGTGACCTCGTATTTGCTCCGGGAAATATCTGCAAGTCCAGATTTCGATTTAGATCAAGACGTCATTGTGTGTAAGTGACACAGTTTACTGTTTCTCCTTCCTTGTTAAATGTTACTGTGCCTTGCGTTTGATTTTTGTTATTCATACCACACTCATTTAATTGTTTTCCAGCCGCCTGTAAGACTTATTTTGAGACGGTACGCAGGAGCTTCAGGTTTTCCCAGCCGGAACACTCATTGCGGGCGGAAGCTGCGAAGGATTCAGCGCGGAGTCGAGCGAGAAGAAAGAGGGTCAGAGTTTATTTGCTGACTTTTTTTCAGGTGCATTGATAGATGTGTTGTGTCCGTACGCATCGCACAGTACTGATTCATTGTTGTTTTTACAGCTGCTGGAATCGAGACAAAGTGTGCTGGCTGATGACGAGGTGGAACTCTGGAAATCCGCCACCGTAGAGCTCATGTCTGATGAAGAGGATGGCGTAGTTGGCGGGGTCTCTGGGTGGATTGTACGGTCGCCGCCATTTCGTAGTCCTGAGCTCTCGGAACTGTGTGCAAAGCTGCAGTCCCGGTTAGAGGCGACTCAGAAATACAGAGCCACACACACTAGGCGCCTGCACAACAGACCTGCCTCGGAAAAGAGAGAGGGCTAGCGCAAATCGCGGCACCGGCAACTCGCTGAGGCACTTTCCGGCGAATCGTGGCAGCTGCCTCGCCTGTTGCCTCGGCTGAGTGAGGTACCACCTCTTTATAGCACGTGTATATAGTACCTTCCTCTTTTTTCCTTTCCACCCCTTTCTTGTAATTTACACACATTCGCACCCCCCCTTCACTTACAGACACACACACTTAATTACACCTGCTCATTCGTTCCCAGCTGCTTCTCCTCTCTTCCTGCTTCCTCTAATTAGACACTATTTCTAGCCTCCCTCTTGCCCTTGTTCTCCGCCAGAGCATTACCTGTGCACCCGACGTACCTGAGCTCGCTGTCCTGTATCGCCTGCCTTGTTGTGTCCTGGCGGGTCGTGCTGAACTATTATTGTCCCGTTGCTAACCTCTGCTTTACACAGCCTCCTGTTTGACATGAGCTGCCTGCTGTCTGGTGCGCTCTCCCTCGGCCTGGACCTCGTTCTGTTCACTGGGATTCACTGTTGCCGGCCAAACGCCCGTATTCTTCTGTTTGTGTGTTTGTGTTCATTAAAACACTTTACGTTCCCTTGCGTTTGGGTGGTCGCTTCTTCACAAGCACAACAGATATAGTCAAAAGGAAATAAATATATTTTAAAGAATGGAATTTTTCCTTTTACATAACATCCATCATGAAGGTACTGTCTGTTGCCTGATCATGAAACAATATATGATATGGTTAATCCTTTAATCCAGCAGCTTTGTGCAATCACTGGATATCTAAAAACAGTCATGCACACAATCAAGCTCAGGCAAATTCTTTTGTCAAGACAACATTAATTTAAATGGAAATACTGGTAACTCCTCTTATATACCGGCATTCAATTTTAGACCCGTCCTGCTGGCGTCCACCCAGTGTTATGGTTTGTTCATATAATCACATACCCATTGATTAGTTCTCGAAGTAGAAATTGTAAAGTGATCTTAGTCCATATTCGCTTAGCTGCACTAAAATGGGAAGCCGTTGTATCACTTATTGGCTTTTTATTAATAAAATGACGTTGCAGTACTGTATTCACATATTGGCAAATTATAAAACAAACATCCCATATTTGGGAAATAAAACTGCAACTGTTTGGCGCAAAGTCGAGGCAGCTGTCGTAAAAACTGCAACCGTCGAGGCACCACTGCGGCAAAGTCGAGGTAGCTGTCGTGAAATCGTGGCAATTGCCTCGGCGTACACAGTAATCTAGCATATTTGAATTAAATAAATCTATTCAAGCTAACATGTAAGTCTATAATTAGGCTACTGAGCCTGATCTATTTGTACCAGAGATTTTCTTACCTTTTAAAAAAATGTCACCTGGGCTAAAACTCCCTCTGCGACCCTGATTTGCATTTGTTTAGCTCACAGCATTTTCATTTACATGTCAAAGCCTCCCCTAGAATTAGGAGGAGGGGGGTCATGGGGGGACAACTACCAAGGGAGGCCCACATCAATTTCTGACAATTTACGGCAGTTTTCGGCGTTGCCCGCAAATTGCCGTGAACAGCCGTAAACCTGAAGTTCCACGACAATCTACAGTGCTGCATACTGACGAAAATCCCACTTTTCATGCAGAGTAATTTTTATTCTTAAATATTGATGAACGAAGAAAAGAATTGGGCTCAAGCAGAAGGGCCACTTTTCTTGTCCAGGGCAAAAGGGCAGGGGCTTGAGGACCACTAGAGGTCTTATCTGTGCACGTGACCCGCAAACCTCAGCAGCTTGACGGACTGGTGGCTGGAGGTGCAGCTGTTGGTGTACAGGTAGAAGAGCAGAGGGGATAGAACGCAGCCTTGGGGGGGAACCGGTGCTGATGTTTCCGAGAGGCTGAGACATGTTTCCCCAGCTTCACGTGCTGCTTCCTGTCAGACAGAAAGTCAGTGATCCACTGTTGATGCAGTTAAGGGTCGGCAAAAGGCTCTCACCTCCCTTCTACCAGCCTCAGTTTCGATGGTGAGGAACTTCCGGTCTTCAACTCCTTGTCGCCGCTGGAGGAGCCGGTGCTGTCCCCTACTCATCCTCCTGCAGGTGAAGCGAAGCGTAAGGAGCACAAACCCTGCCAGTCCGTCTATAGTAAGCCCTTCCCCAACGTCAGCCCCCCCAAAGATGCAAACGTCCGCGTTTCTCACTTCTGCAAAAAGCCCACCAGGTCTCAATCTTGGTCAGAAATCATAAAGAAAGTTATTTTAAATATGAACCTACAATATATGGATGCTAATTGCCGTCCTTTATGGATTTCTCCCAATTTTCCAGTTTTTTCTCTGTCAGGTAGTGAATGAGCAATGGATGTACGAATATTTTGATTTTGGACCATATAGAACTGAGTTAAACATGTTTAAGATGTGATGAACTATGATGATTTAAGATGTGTTATTTAAGGGTACTAGCTATTAGATGATGTCATTATGCATGCTATATTATGTTTACATGAAGCTTTAGAGCAAAGGTGTATTCATTGAATACGGTAGTGTTAAATGAAGAGGGATTGGTCTGGTCAGTGAGGGATTTCAGATTTGACTATCAGATGGAGCCAGGAGGGAGTCATGTGATGCCTTGGAGCAGAGAATGTACAGGAAGATGTTACCTCCTCCGATTAGGTGTTCTTCCCCCAACACCTTCCTCCTCAGCCAGAGCCAAAAGCTCCCTTTCTCAGCCTCCTCTGCCATGTCCTTTGTTGCCCTCCTTAGCCTCCTTCCGGTCACTCCTGCATCCCTCAAGAGGCGTGTGGTTGACAAACCCAAGAACCCTCGGCCTCCGACCTCCACTGGGTAGATGGTAGCCTTCCAGCCAGCCTCCCGGCACTCAGCAGCCGGCTCTGAGTGCTTGGCCTTCTTACGTTCCAAGGCGGCCTCAATCCTGTAGCACCCCTGTGAAAGCGTGATCTTGCAGCCTGATAAGATGTGCTGGAGGCTTGCGTTTGGGGCATTGCAGATGTGAGCAGCATTCTTCATTCCCAAACCACTGGTGAAGGTTCCGAGGACAGGGAAGCGTGGATGAGGAAGCTGAGTCTTGCCTGTGGGGGCTCAGCCTCCACCAGGGGGTCCCTCCTTCCTCTGTGACTCTTGTGCCTTCAGCAACGTTGGGTCCTTCAGCTCTGTCTTGTTTCTACCCTGTCCGTCTTGTCTCACCTGCTGTCGCAGTGCAAGGTGGCCTTCCTGACCATACTTTGCTTTGCCCTGGTGGATTCGTAAGCCTGTAAACGTGGTCACTTTCTCCCATCCGCATGCACACTTCCGGAGGATCTTCTCTTCATTTGCTGGAGTTCTGGTGTTCTCATTGTCCGTTTCCGTTGCCGTCGTCACCGTGTGGCCCGTCATCTTTCATCCCGCCTCTCAGAGGGCCCAGAAAGGAATTCACCAGAGAAGAGCTGGGCTCGAATGTGCAGCCAATCACATACAACAACAACAGCACAGGGGACACCGGCGGGAGATTGAAAGAGCTGAGCTGGAGAAGGAGCAGGCAGAAGCCTCCTGAGAACTGATATTGATGGTCATATGAGACTTTGACCAGGGGATTTCTCTATTTCGCAAAATAATATGGGCTCTGTGAAAAGTCCTGGTAATCAATCTGGGGTGTGAATCATTTTAGGCAGCATAGGCACTATGACATTATAAACATTGACGCGTAAAGATCTTTATTTAGATTGATCGAGAACACATATAACTCTGACTTCCTGTCGTTTAACTAATATTGACTGGGGTGAAACACTACTTTTCCCTATAGTAAGGGTATCGAGTGATGGATGCCAACTATATATTCAAAACAGCATGCTTCCCATTCATGTTGAAAGAATCCAGAATTCTTAGTCCGCCGCCCTACGGCAGATCACGGCCAAAAGTCTGAATGTGAAATAAACTGTCAATCAGAAAGGGAAAAAAAAGAAAACTAGTCAAAACTATATTGAACCCAAAAATACTTTTTGTCGACCTTATAGTTGTATTGTTAAAGACCAAAAGTTAAACATTCCGGTTCACATTTGTTTTTCAAATTATCAAAACATTTGGCCTGAATTTGGCGCAATTAAAAGGCTTTTTAAAAAAAATACGTAATGCTCTTACAGCTGTTGCTGCTAATAATCTACTATTTCTAGAGGAAGTAACTTAGTACTTCAACTACTACTACGGGCACAAAGACTACTACTACTACTACCACTGCTACAAATTATATTACTACTGCTACTACTTATTCATCCAGCCCGGATACCACCAATACTACTACTTATACATATAGTATGGCGTCTCCGGGCAGCGGCAGCCACACTGTCAAAACCTCTAGTTATTTTAACAGCGGACCTATGACAGCGGGAGACAACAAAGTTGCCTGAGCGGGGGAGGAGCAAACAACACTCTAGTGACGCGGCAGTTTCCCAGCATACAGTGGGGCATCATGGCGGATACAAGGGAAAAGGCTTTGCAAGACTACAGAAAAAAATTACTCGAACACAAAGAAATTGACGGAAGGTTAAAAGAATGTAAGATACCCCTTTATCTTGACGTTTGTGGTGTGAGAAATATACGTTGTATGTTTTGATCAGACTAATATTATTGGGTAGTCTTTATCAACTAGCTTGCCATCCAGCTAGCTAGTGCTTTGTCATGCAGTTAGCATCCTCATAGAAATGAATGGAAGTAATGCTAAATTGGTTCACGTTAGTTGTGCTAGCTCGTAGCTTAGAAGTAACGTAACGTAAACTGTAAGTTAGACAAACATTCATAAGACTAATTCTATGGCAAACAGTAACTAATGTTCGGTCAATAGCATCTAAAATTCAGTGAATGTATTTTGTTGCCATTATTTCCATGGACATTCTGTTTTGTTACCTTAAAGACCACATCTCCTTAAAGCTAACGGTAGCTTTGACCAGGAGACGTGAACTGTTATTATACAAAGTGTGTTTGGCGGTGTGAGAAAGTCTTCCTTTATTTTGTGTTTGTTAACGCACACATAGACACTCCTGACAATCCATCTTTGTTTTCTAGTGAGAGAACAACTGAGAGAACAAACTAAACAGTACGAAAAATCAGAAAATGACCTGAAGGCTCTTCAAAGTGTTGGACAGGTGAGAACATTGTCTGTAACTTGTTTAAACATACAGGGTAAGACATTTACACATTATTTAGGAGACAATTATTTCCCCCACTGGCTGAAAACTAGGGGCATTTTATAAGAAATTGATTTATTTTTAAACCTTTCGTTAAAAATAACGAATACACTTAATTGGGCTTAGTGTAAATGCTACTGTCATCATGACAATAATTCGACTATTACATTACATGTCATTTAGCTGACGCTTTTATCCAACGCGACTTCCATTGCATTATATATTGGGCAGTAGTCTACAGATTCAAAGTCTTTTCTTGGAAACAGAAATACTCATACTCATTAAATTTTATTTGTCTTTCTTTGTAGTTTCTTGTGTTTAGCATTATGTTAAGCAATGTCAAACAGCTTGACCGTTTTGCAGAACGCTGTCTTCTGCATCCGATTCACAGCTTCCACAGTTTGCTTTCTGTTATTGAGCTGATTACTCCATGCTTCTGGAAAAACAAAGAACAAAACATTTAAACCTTGAAACCCCCTGTCAACTGCAGTCTCAACTAATTCTATTTTACCCAAAATAGAGAATTGTCTGTTAACCACAAGATTGCAGTAACTTATGAGAAGAGGAAACCTCTCTTACTGACTGCCCTTTTTCTAACGTTGGCTAGCTTGCAAGCCTTCATAGCGTGTTAAATAGCTATAATTATATAGCATGTTGATCAGCCGTCTGGTGACCAAAGAGCACATATTTCTTTATGTTTTCGCTCCCCTTGGAAATGGGCAGTATTTGGCCCTTTACCGAAAACAAGTTTGACACCCCCGGTCTAGAGGAAAGACTAAAGTTAATTTTGTAATGCTTTTAACAACAGTGAGAAAATACTTTGGAAACAGGATATTATTGAACACATATGTGGTATGCAATGTATAATTTTATCTGAACTTTCACCACCCGTTAATCTTTCATCCAGCCGAACATTGAGTTGTGTGTCTATGAAATCCACACAATTTTGGTCAGTATCTTTGGAGTTATGAGAAAGGAGATCATTTTGTAAAGACCGCAGAAGGGACGCAATTAGACAGTTAGGAGGGAGAGAACAAAATCACCCTTTACTGACTACACCTGTTGCTCCTTTCCCTTCAGATTGTTGGAGAAGTCCTCAAACAGCTGACTGAGGAGAAATGTAAGTGCATTGGTACATAGCTCACATTTGCAAGTGTCACAGTACAGGTAGTAACAACTTTCTCTGCAGTCATCTGCATAGTGGTGCAATGGGTAGCGATACAATTCACAGTTAGAATTTCATAATATATCTTTTTTGCTGCTGATACTTGCTGATCATAACGAACCATGTTTGGTAGCCGTTAGTGGCGAGCCAAAACGGCTGTTATGGCTATGCACCGGTACTCCGCTGCTCCATTCTGTTTTCTCTCCTTTAACTGCTCTGTGACAGGCTCATATTAAGCAAGATCCACCGTCTTAAAACTGTGCAGATAATTCAAAATGACTGATAGCCTGTAACTGTGACACATGTCAGACCTGTAAAGCTAATGTATTTTTGTTTTTAATCCAGTCATTGTCAAGGCCACCAACGGCCCCAGATATGTGGTTGGATGTCGCAGACAGGTAGGTGAAGAACACACACATTAGATTCTCTTATTGGTATGTTGCAATATTTTATGGTTACATATTTTTTGTTATTTGAAGACATGCATGCAAACACAAATAATTCAAAGCTGCCTACAAATCTGTTTCTGGACTCGGGTCAAAAAACACTCGTAAGCTGTGCAGAACATTAGGATAACCAGAAGTGGAATGTTTTTAAAGATTACCTTGTACATGTATGGAATTGTTAAAAATATGATTTTTTTGTACTTCGGCAGAAAGTGTTATTTTTCTATGAACGCTCATTGCGTATAACAAGGAGATTGGTTTGAAGATGAGTCTTTTTTGTGAAAAAGGACAGCGTGATATCAAAGATATCTTGAGATCAAATGACCGAAGTCAGTGTTTTTATGAGGAGATGATAAGGTCCCCACAGATTCCCAACACATTTTGATTGATAAATGAAGTCCAGCTGTGTGCAATTTAGCGGGGGTCACCATTCTCTAATTCTACGTTTTGATTCAATCTTTGATTGATTGATTCGATCTGTTTCCATGGCTCTTGTAAGAATCCAATCTTGAACATGAGCTAGACTATATTTAAATCAAATAACCTTAAAAAAATGATGTCTGTTTTTGGCCATATGACGTATCTTCCATGTTGGCATATACATTTAAATCCAAACCTGTTTATCCCACACACCAAACATACCTAATTGTTCAGAATTTGAACACTAATCTATGGTGTTTTTCATCGCAGTTGGACAAGTCCCAGCTGAAGCCAGGCACCAGAGTGGCGTTGGACATGACCACACTCACTATAATGAGGTAGGCTAGATGTATTCTTCAGTCAGAATTGGATCCAGTTAGGATCTAAGGTTTAAGCTATAATGAAGACGGAACAGGTGTGACCCGGACGGACAGACAGAACACATTTTCCGACACGCTCTCTGTCGAAAAAGGAGGCAGCTGAGGTGGTTCGGGCATCTAACTAGAATTCCTCCTGGACATCTCCAACTAGATTTAAGCAGAGGAAAATGGATGGATTTCAATAAATCCATATTTCATAAAAGAATGTAAACGGCGAACAACAATACGGTTTTCATTGTGACAACCGTTCTGCGGGCTCCTAATGTGTTTCCTTTTCTTTCCAAGGTACTTGCCCAGAGAGGTGGACCCTCTGGTCTACAACATGTCCCACGAGGACCCTGGCAGCGTGTCCTACTCTGAGATCGGAGGCTTGTCCGAACAGATCCGTGAGCTGAGAGAGGTACAACAAAGCCAGCAATTCAACTTCTATTATTTTTATGGTTGGGCTTCGAAAGGCTGTATGTGGCTAACTGAGTTAGCCGGATAATTTTCAGGATGAGAAGACATAGATCATTCGGTTCCCCGAAGCAGGTTTGTCAAAATCACCATAGCAACACATGGATAAACTTGAACCTGCTCCGGCGCAGGTTGATTTGAGCTGCTGGATTAGTTCATCACTCCCCTGGGAAAAAGGGCAGCTCTCTTCCTCATTGATGAAGGAGCGATACCAGTTAGATTAACGTTTTATAGGGAGAGACTTCTCCGACATCACCAAGATCCGTTTAGCCGCGATGACGTCCTGTACGAGCGCTATAGATGCTGAGGACAAGGAATCATTTATTTACAAGATTTCCCCGTTACGTGATGAACACCACACGCTGCAGCCGAACATCCACTGTCCTGCAGACTGTCTCCCACTTTCTCGCATACTCTCACACACACACACACACTCTCTCGCATACTGTCTTACACACACTCATGTCTCACACACTGTCGCTCATACTGTTCCTGTCTGCACGGTGTTGCGATGCAGAGAACATCTGGAAAGCCGCTGCACGTCGTGCTCTTCGTAAAGTTCTGTTGGTTTATTTGTCGCTTAATAAACTGCTTCAATTGATCAAATGTCTGATTATGAACAATGGATATATAATGATTCTCGCATACACATTCACACACATATAATACAACTCATATGGTCATTTACACATGAATATGATACATCAGGAAACATTTATTGCCAAAATATGTCAAACATACAAGGAATTTGTCTTGGCTGATACAGTACATATATCCTATTCATTCGTATCAATTTGATTCGTTGAGTTGAGATCATTATTCTCATTGGATGATGATCATCCATGAAGCTTCCTCCCAGCAGGCACATCTTAGAAATCTGATTGATTAGAGACGAGACACTTAAATGAGTCGTTACAGTTTACCAACACGTAAAGCGGAATATGCGGAGAAAAACGACGCTCTTCCTTTAAGTTTATTTGCCTTTATACTGTTAAAAATTGTGGTTTCGGTGATCGTCTCTTCCGCCATCTAACGTAAGATGCGCACGCGTGATTATCCTGATGACTGACATCTAGTTCAAACTAACGAGGCGGTTTGAGCGCCGAGATACCCTGATGTCAATCATCTCAGTAATTGGAGCTGGATAATCGGACATTTGATCGACTTCGTTGAACCACGTACGAGGAACAGGGCCCTGATTTTCATTTCTGTCAATTGAGTCCAAAACAATGTTGCTGTTCTCTTGTGGCAGGTGATTGAGCTGCCTTTGACCAACCCTGAGCTCTTCCAGAGGGTGGGCATCATTCCCCCTAAAGGCTGTCTGCTCTACGGACCTCCAGGTCAGTGAAAGAACACAACTCAAGCTTTTCCCACTCCTGTAAAATGTATCTAAAACGCATACCCAAAGTAAATGGAAAGCCATTTCTCAAACTACTACATATTTTTTGTCTCTTTTTGTAAGGTTACCCTCTTAATGTTCCTCCCCAACAGTCAGAATCACTTTAAGTACTACTGGCTTTGGTAATATAAGTTTGAACACTGTAAAGTACGTTTACGTATTTCCGCCTACCGTAATTTCCGGACTATACAGCGCACCTGAAGCCCTATATATATATATATATATATATAATCTTTTTTTTCTCTCTGCCTTCATTTCTCATAGTTCAATATTGTAGATAACGTCTTTGACTCAAGTATTCCAACTGACTCTCCGGCGTGTGTGTCTCAAACTACAATGCTTAAGGGAGTAAACATTTCATTGGCTGAGTATCATCACGTCAGATGATTTACAACATGAGCAATTTGCTGGTTTTCTTCCTGGACCACTGAACAAGTCTCCATTCGTTATTGGCCCAGATAAAACAGCGTCTGGGCCCGGACCTGGACCCACCTATTGGTGCCCCTCCTCCCGTCTGAGCCCTTTGTGAACCTATTTGGATTTGGTTCATATTTTATGACACCCATATATTCAATGTATTTTGTTTTGATGTAGATGAATGATTTTGTCTGTAACAGGAACAGGAAAAACTCTTCTGGCCAGGGCAGTGGCCAGTCAGCTGGACTGTAACTTCCTCAAGGTGAGTGTCAGTGCCATTTCAGGTCTGACTGCTGCACTGCAGTCCGCTAAGTAAGTGTGTGTGTGTGTTACAGGTGGTGTCAAGCTCCATCGTGGACAAGTACATCGGTGAGAGCGCCAGGCTGATCAGAGAGATGTTCAACTATGCCAGAGACCACCAGCCCTGCATCATCTTTATGGATGAGATTGATGCCATTGGTGAGTGACACTGAGGTTTTGGTATAACTTGGCCTCACACGGGGCACCATTTTGTTGGGCACGGTGTAGGGGCAATGTGTTTAGTTCGACCCATCATATGCCCATTTTACCACAAGTTGATATGGTTCCTTGGGGTCTTAATGAAATGTCTAACATACTTTGGTCAAAATACCACAAGGATCATTTAAAACAGCACCCTGTCTGAAACGGAGTGACCTGTGAGTGTAGGGGGGCCGGGGGCAAAGGCCATGTAAGAAAGACATTACATTGTATGACGCAATGTTAAGGAAGTCCATTCCAGTCACTCAAGCGTGATGTTTCTTACTTAAAAGAACCATAACAAATCGTGGGAGTATTTTTGTTGGAGTTTTGGGGTCGGTAGACATGCCACATACAGGGCTCCACCCTAAAAATGCACTAATAACCAACCTATAAATCAAGAGTCCTATCATTAAGAGCGAGGAATTAAAGGTTTGCGTTTGTACACTTTCTACAATGTTTCCAGCCAGCACTACAGTCCATTTCCTCTTTTCGAGACCTAAAAAATGCATCCGACTAAAAGAGGACGCCTGATCACCCGATGAAAAGCTAGGCTAAGGCTACTCGTGTTGGGCTGTATATGGCTGAGCTGTCTGCTACATGAGGGCACGTCTCCCCTGATAACTCGCTGTGAGTGACGGCTGCCTGTTGCGTGTGTGAGATCTGTGCAGTCAATGCGTGCAGGCAGCCTGACCGGCAGCGGAACAGTGAGTGCGCTCTCATTGCGTGCTTTTTTTAATGTACTGGTACTAAAAGTGTTCAGAACCGTATTGTTTTCAACGTAAGGGCATCGCAGATTTGCATCGCTCAAGTGTCACCGCACCTGTGCATAGACTTTGTATGAAATCCTGTGGCGCATAATAAGGGAAAGGACGTCAACCAATACATTCAACAAAAATAATAAACGAGCAAGACTTTGTATTTTGTCTTTCGTAGATTAAGAGCTCATTTAACCATAAGCTGAATTGCAGATATTACATAATACATGCAAGCTAGAGTAGCTGAATGTTCAGAAGAAACCGTACTGAGGGACTTAAGTATAAAGAGATATGACTTTGAGCAGTTTATTCTTACGTCTCATGTTTATTTAAAAACACGTCATTGATTTCCAACTTTAAAAAAAAACAACTGATGTGATTAAGGTATTATATTATAAAATTTCTATCGCGAGATATTTGAATGAATTCCAGAACTTTCATTCAAAAAAGATTACCTCGCGGACGGCTCACGTGTCACCATGTTGAATAAAATCAAATCTTCATCCTGTATGATGGGACATGCTGGGCCGCAAAGGTTACATCAGATGTGTCCTCTAAGTCACACTTGGACTGGAAGTCTACATTCATGGACAGCATTCGAAGCAGACGACGTAATGGGACAGCTGCGTCGTCGCCGTGCAATTTGCAATAAATTGGCATCCAGTGGTTGAGCTTGTCGATTTGAGTTGAGACCTGCCAGCATTGTGTCTTAGGAATGGTCACTGTATGCTTGTGTGTTCCCTGTAGGCGGCCGTCGTTTCTCCGAGGGAACTTCTGCAGACAGAGAGATCCAGAGGACGTTAATGGAGGTAACTGACCCACTGAGCTGTTTGTTGAGCATTTTTTTTGTTCACCACATATTTCCATATGTTCCTTCATAGTTTTAACGTCTTAAATATTAATCCACAATATATATATTTTTTAAAGGGAATATGATGTGTGCAAACTTTTGACATGTACTGTACATATTTGACCGGCCAACGGGAGGGAGGGAGGGGGGGGACTTAATTCAGGTATGAACGGATGTCAGTAAACTGAATGCACTGCATGTGAATACTGAAGTCCATATATAGGGAGACTGTGGTGCATGTAGTACAGAGGGTGCTCCAGGAACCACAAGGTTGGCGTTTCGAACCCCGGCTGCTCCATGTCCCAAGTGTCAAAGTGCCCCTGAGCAAGACACCCAACCCCTAATTGCTCCCTGGGCAAAAATGTGAAAACCCTGAGTAAATGCAATGTCAGTGGCTTTGGATAAAAGCGCCCGCTAAATGACCTGTAATGTAATATATGGTGCAGCCTTAGACGATGTCTGTGAGAACTGTCCTTGCTTGCTAATCAGCAGAAGAATGATGCAGGACTTTACTAAATGATCAGTAATAGCTCTGTCTGGGAGTGAATCCTGAATGGTTTTCATTGTTAATCACTGAAGACATTGCAAAATAAACGCTGATAGTAACTCGCGCTACTAGCAATGTATCACAATGAATGTGAATGTGTTTAATTATCATGGTCAGCACGGTTAAGACACATCCCTGGTTCTCATCCTTTGTGTGTCTGTCCTGTCAGCTGCTAAACCAGATGGACGGCTTTGACACCCTTCACCGAGTTAAGATGATCATGGCCACCAACAGGCCTGACACCCTGGACCCGGCCCTGCTGCGCCCCGGCAGACTGGATCGTAAAATCCGTGAGCGCTTTGTGTTCCTGTTGCTCATTACCGTGTCAGCGGTCTGACCGCACGCGGCGCCAAGCTAACGCCCCGTCTTCTTCTACAGACATCGAACTGCCAAATGAACAAGCTCGTCTGGACATCCTCAAAATCCACTCCAGTCCCATCACCAAACACGGAGAAATAGGTGAGTGAGCAGAAGGTCTCCTCGTCAGTGTTAATTTCGTCTACGAAAAATGTTCGTTTAGGACCTTTTCCCCATGACTAAGACGTGACGAAAATGGATCTTTGAAAATAAAAAATATGACTAAATCTATGTATGAATGAATTCGTTGAAAGACTAAATAAAAAATGGCTGCCAAAATTAACACTGCTCCTCGTACTGGACGCATCACACTTTCTTTCACCGCTGTGTTCCACCTCTTGGACATTAGATCACGTGTTTGTAGAGTTTTGAAGTTGTAGTGCTTCCTCTAGGACCTGACAGTGGAGTTGTCCGACTATATATTGCACTTGACTCTCAATCGGAGCGTAGTGAGAGTCGAGCAACTCTGTTCTGCTTGATGGCGTAATGTTCCTATCGTCTGTGACCCTGCACCTCCTCAACAAAGCCAACCATGATTATCACAACTCAGAATGGAGTGAGACAGGGAGAAAAGGCGATGTGGTCTTTGCAATAAAACACATTTAATGTGACGGCATGAGTCTTAGCCAATCTGCGTTTATTGCTACAGCGTCTTCATTTCCCCTCCCAACTTTTCATCCTAGCATTCCAAATTGAAGTTACTGCGGACACTTGGTTATTATTATTACTGCAGGTGTTTTGGCGCAATCAGTGGTCTTAATCAGATCTGTTTATTATTTTGGTCAGAACAATCCAAGGGCCGTGGTTATAAAAGCTTGAGGGTTCATCAGATGACGTGGATGTGATATGGCGGACAAACATGGTCTAACTCTTCATTTGCATCAAATGCAAAGTCATACATGTTATAAAATGCAGTTTTCTGGATTTTTTTGGTTGATATTCCGTTTCTCACTGTTGCAATACACCTACCATTACAATTATCGATCACACATTTCTTTGCAACTGGCCAAACTTGCGAAATCGGCAGAGGTTCAAATACTCATTTTCCCCACTGTAGGTTACCATTTTTGTCAAAGACTGACTATTACATTACGTTCATGCAGTCAACATTTGCAGTGTTGACCCTTGTTTTTCAAGAACTCTGCCATTGACCCCGTCCTGCTGTCAGTTCATTTGTGGGCCACATCCTGACTGACGGCAGGCCATTCTTGCATTATAAAGGCTTGAAGTTTTTGTTTGTCCACCTGCCTCTCGAGGATTGACCACTCAATGGGATTAAGGTCTGGGGAGTTTTCGGAATACGGTCATTCTCAAAACGAATGGCCATGGCTGTTCAACCTGATGCATTTATCATCTCTGTTAGTAGAAATTGTCTATGCATTGTGTGTGTATTCATTATTCAACGTAACATTTCTTGTGGTGGTCGTTTGTTTCAGATTATGAAGCTATTGTGAAGCTGTCAGACGGTTTCAACGGCGCTGATCTGAGGAATGTGTGCACAGAAGCAGGTTGGACATCACTCATTCAGTCATGTAATTAGTTTCATTACCTCAATGCGTGTTGTTCACGGGTTGGTTTGTTGCAGGTTTGTTTGCTATCCGCGCTGACAGAGAGTACGTCACTCAAGAGGACTTCATGAAAGCCGTGCGGAAGGTGGCGGATTCCAAGAAGCTTGAATCCAAGCTGGACTACAAGCCTGTATAAATCAAATGTCATTGGCCTTTTCCCATATTTTCATTGATTTGCTGTGTTTGTTCTCCAGGTTACCAATTTAGTGATTTTTACTGAGTAACCCCTGTTTTGCCTTTAATTAGTACATATGAATTAGCTCATAAAGGCTGATCATTCTCCCATCTCACAGAACATCTGTTAAAAGAAACTTGTACTAAAAATACACTGTTATATGGAAAGTCCTTGTTTTTTATTCTTTGATCTCATTGCCATAAAGTGAGTGTGATGGATATTCAGCAACCCACTGACTGCATTTTGCAAAACCCATTAAAGGTAAACATTACACAACATTGAAAGTAGTGTAAGTGGCTGCAACAACAAGAGCTGTTTGAATTCTCTAAACGCTAAGGCAGGAGCTTCAATGCTTCCCTACTTGGCTCCTTTAGCAGAGGAACCGCTGGACCATCCTTTACAAAAGGAAAGGAGATGATTCCATCGCATAATCCCTTGCGCCGGCAACATTTAAATAGTGATCATTTGGCGTTCACGAGGGGAAAAAAGGATCATGACTGAGAAACGCAGACTCATTTATTCTGCATGACTCAGCACTGTAGCAGCTCATGAACTGAGTGATCTAAGATGCGCTTCTTTATAGTCCATCTTCAGAGAAATCTTAGTTTCGCCGCTGCACACTGATGTCACGAACATGCTTCTCCCATTAGTTTGGTGAAAGCAGTCGGATTACTAATGACTAGGGGTGTAACCATTCATCCACTGAATCAATCGATTTATATTCCTGCGATCCAACTGAATCGATCTGTGCTCCGCAAATCTGCATTCCGATTACATATCGATTGAAATGGTACATAATTGATTTCTATCGATACTTGGAAACTGCACATTGGATTTAAGCACAAAACCGGTATGGATGTGTGTTTGTTTGTTTTTTGGCAATTTAGACACGTTAAACGTTACTGGATTCAGTCTGCCTGTCTGTGACGTCATCAGTACGCAGCAGCAGCCGCGTGAAACTGAACAGCAACAAAACAGCGTGGAGGAGACGACTGCGAGCGAGACATTTACAAACCAACTTATCGATCCAGCGCGTGGAAACATTTAGGCTTTTACAAACACGGAGGTGTTCTAAATAAGTCGGTCGCTGTTTGTAGAATATGTAGAAGCCAAATAAAAAACCACGGAAACACGACAAATCTTTCCGGTCATCTACTACGGCGCCGTGGGATTAAACAACGGCGACAGTCAGGACCTCTAGCAGCGTCACCGCTGCAGCAGCAGCAGGTAACTCAGCTCTGCAGACGCCTCAGGCCTCGCCAGCACCAAACATCACAGTAACAAGTTTATCTGTAAAGACATGAGACCCTACGATGTGGTTGAACATCCGGGGTTCTGTGAATTGATCCAAACATTGTGTAATTATTGTCTAATGTTTACATTGAAAATGGCACCTGATTCAAATAAAAGGTTAATACATTTGCCATTAAGTGTTGTTTGCTTGTTTATAATATCCATAATTAATTTAAACCTGATTTCCTTACAAGAAACAACAGGGATCTCAGAAACTTTGCCTGCACTGTCCAGTAAAGTTACTGAATCGAATTTAAGTCACTGAATCGAATCGAATCGTTCTAAATTAACCCAGATCGCCCATGAATCGAATCGGCAACCATGAATGGATGTTCAAATCTAGCCATATTTAGACTATTACCTGTAATACACCTTTCCACTCTAAATAGATTTGATTTTGGTGCGAGTTTTGACATCGGCCATAGAGCCTCCTCACCAAGGTTATAGGACTGCATGTATATATTTTGATTCTGAAGCAGCTCAACAGACGTAAAGAAAAAGCCTGCACAGGTCCCTTTTCATGGTCTTTTTCAGGGTCAAATGTCTGCACAGGCTGCCTGTGTTGACTGACTGTATATTGCATGAATAAAACAGACCAGCTAGGCTACAACTACTTAGTTATGTCTCGTTGAATGAATTTCTCCTGTTATTGACGCGCCTAATGCGCTCGATATTGGAATATATTTGAATCTAGTTGCGTAGATATATTTCTACAGCTGCAGAAGAATCAAAAGAGTCAACTTTTAAATTTATTAAAGAATTTATTAACTAAAAGTGATGAATACAGTTACAATACAATGTGTAGGATATTAGAAACAAATTGACAATCCGGTTCATAAAATTAATAAAATGCATATAGTTTACACCAGAATACAGCCATGATTCTGAAACTGTGTAATCAATAAAGTAATGACAATATTGTAAGACCACTGTAATTCTGCAACTGTACTAGAATAATACCAATGCAGTTATGATTGTATTTGATGTAATGTGATCAACTGGAATGCATGCATGTAATACTTGAACAACAACTGATATTGACTGAGGATCATTCGAAATCCGAGTTACATTGAACTCACCAGAAGACCACTCCCAGAGGTGTGGACACTGACTTTCACACCTTTAAGCATTGTTATAAATACCTGTAGGAACCATTGTTCTGGAGTTCACAGGTGGAGGCGACAGACGGGCACTAGGGATGGTCAAAGGACTGACCTGGGGCCTGTTGGTCGCTGAGACCAGCGGCTCCTCAGCTGAGATGTTCTTTTTACCGCAACGCCATCTCCTTTATTAAATACATTTGATTTTAACCTTTTGATCAGCGATGACCTCTGTCCGTCCGGCGTTTCTTCATTTTTGAACACAACAAATGCAATGCAAACATACAATACAAACAGTCCACAAAGGTCCCACGGTGCTCGTGTCCCATCTTTAAATTGTGAAGTGTTGGGAAAGCCCTCGAATGAGGCCTCACTTCTTTGTTCTCGAAACAAAGAATCAAAAGAGTCAACTTTTAAATTGATTCAAGTTTTTTAATTTTGTTTAAAAATTAAAAATTTTAAACAAAGTGATAAGGAATACAGTTACAATACAATACAATAGTTACAATACAATACAGTTACAATAGTTACAATACAATACACGTTACAATACAGTCCACGAAGGTCCCACGTTGCTCCCGTCCCACGTCGTTCATCTCCGATGGTGCGTCCCACGTTGATCTCGTCCCACGTCGTTCATCTTCGATGGTGCGTCCCACGTTGATCTCGTCCCTCGTCTTTCCTCTCCGATGGTGCGTCCCACGTTGATCTCGTCCCTCGTCTTTCCTCTCCGATTGGTGCGTCCCTCGTCTTTCCTCTCCGATGGTGCGTCCCACGTTGATCTCGTCCCTCGTCTTTCCTCTCCGATGGTTGCGTCCCTCGTCTTTCCTCTCCGATGGTGCGT